TTTTGATGTAAAGATACAACAATGCTATCAATAAAATTAAATTACGATAATCTTTTATCAATACGCGTAAGTACTACCTAATTAAGATTGCAAATAATTAAATTGATTGGATTTGTCATACCTAATTAATTATTACTTTGTCATGTACAAACACATATTTTGTTATGTTTACAATGTTCAGTCAACACTTTTTGATTCATTAACAATTTATTGTTCTTATACATATACCTACCTACACGAAATCGACTTGTTCAATACACGAAAATAAGTAAGCTCCCACACAATGAAGAAACTTAACTTCTACAAGCAGGGACTTTTTCTCAATACAAATAAATAGGAATAATCTTATTTACTAACTCTCTGCAGTTTATAGAGTTAGAATATTCAAGTAAGTTAGGTAAATAATAATAACAATCGGGAAACTCAACCATTGAACGATGCCATTATAAAAAGTCATTCAAAGTAATTACTTATCCAAATTAAATAGGATCTCGTCGAACGAGTAGGAAGTATTATAGATGAAAAGTTACAAAAAAGTTACAGGCTAATGCATCCATATTGATCTTCAAAAGCAGGAGTGCACATATCACAAGAATCCGAATTCTAATATAGTTTAAACACATACAGTAGGATCTCTCTACATTAATTACATTAGGTACACTTTGGAAAATATCTCAAGAGTGTTTACGTCAAGAACGTTCATAATAGCGTCTAATGATTTATTATTGTCATCACCTCTCTCTTTTGTTTTCTGAAAGTGAAACTTATTTTAACTAAACGAAATATGGCATGATAATAAGTTTCTGATGTTCATTAACTATGAGGTAAAACATGATCTCACGAGATTTCACTTCTTATTGTAAGTGGACCTTCTGCTCTAAGTAAGTCTTTTGCGACTCCATCGTAGAAACGGTTGTAAACTCCAACTCGTCGGATGGAATGGAAAACTTTGATGGAAAACCACACGTAAGAAACGCGGATCACAGGGACAGAGCAAGGGGCAAGACAAGTGACAGACATTGATGGAAAAACTACTAATAATTAATTTTACCAATGTCATTTCTTAAAACAAGGTGCTGCTGGTTAAGCCTTTAACTAAAATGGATATGAGGTATTCACAAACTAAAATGGATTTTCCTAGCTATGCAAATTATACTTGATTATCTGGAATATTCTGAAATACTGTATCGATAAGGAAAAGAATCCCAAGTGCTGAATTGCTGGTTAAAAGTGTGAAAATTTTGAAACAATTCTGTTAGGTACTCATTCATTGAAAGAAACCTACTGTACAGACTCGCATTACTGTAACTCTGTGACCTTAGTTTAGTTGTGACAATAGCAAATACCTATATGAAGCCCTGTTCCACCCCTTAGTGCAGCCCTGTAAAGTTGGTAAAATGTTCCCCGCACGGGCCAGAATTGTATCAAACATGCTGCCTCCGCCAAACAACTCAAGCCCCGAGCCCCCGGGCCCCCGGGCCCTGATTGATTCCAGTGTTTGTGTTGACGGAACACAGTTACGTTTTATAACCGTATGAGGATATCGAACAAAGTTAGAGATTGGATCTTGTTTAAGAACAGCTACGAGTATGTGTGTTTGCACTTTTGACTTTTACAAGGAAACATTAGCACTAACAAACTTTTTGGTTGTAGGAAGAGTTGATGAGAGCAATTTTTAACAGTATACCTCGGAAAATAGGAAAAATAATTACACAAACAGTCTCGATATCTAAAGGTATGAAAATAGTTTGAGAAAATCTTTAAAAAATAGTCCAATGTTACCTTAGTTCACCACATGTTTTTATTTTTATTTGTCGTGTGACTGTGTAAAAAACTGCACCATTTTCCAAAACATTCCTTTTGGATAAAATGCCCAATACCAGCTGCAGCCATTCAAAGATTTTCAAAAGCAAAACGTAATTAACGTTGAAACTAGAATCAATTAATACAATACGACAGAACGGCCGGCGATTTGTAACCGACCAGCAGGTGCCGCAGTCCGCCATTGTTTACCGCCGGCAAACTTCACCTCGTAACCCTGAAATCTAATTGGATTTAATTCCATTACCAGAGGTCCGAATGGGACCCTTAATTGTGCTGACCGGGTCGAACGCACCCTTGTTTCGTAATGGAAAACGCAAGGTAAGGTGTTGGGCTGATTAGACAATGTACGAACGTATTCCATCGCTTTTGCATTTAAGATATCAGTGGGAAAAGAACGCGCGATTTACACAAAACAAAACAGTCTATATTTCGGCCCGCCTGGTGGACTGATGATGATCTAGAGTGAGAAGCGACAGGACCTTGCTGTGACATGTTACAAAAATCGCTGGAAGTGAGGAGGTGAGGTAATTACAAAATATTTATAATTGAAGGGGCCATGTAAGCAGACCGACAATGAGGGCTATCGTTCAAAGACAGTGGCGCCAACTGGTGAGCGCTAAATTGGTAGAAGGACTATCGCATTTGCGCTCATCAAGATTGCGCCACTGTAGAGTAAGGTCCTGTCAATCGCCAGGGGTGCCAACTGTTAAGTATAAAAACGATAGCCCTCATTATATTAAACTAGCTGTGCTCCGTAATATTGTTACCTGCGGTAAAAAGTTGCCTATGTGTTAATTCAGGGTGTCAGCTAACTCTATACAAAATTTTATTATAATCGAGAAGAAGTAACAAACATACACATTCACAAGCCTGCGTCCAGCGCCTTCCTACTACCTTTATGATGGCAATGGGCAGGGCACATAGTACGCAGAACTGACGGCCGATGGGGCAGCAAAGTTCTGGAGTGGAGAAAACGCAGCGTGGGACGTTCACCCACAAGGTGAACCGACGACTTTGCAATATAACAATATTAATTAAGAGCAATTTAAATAGGATAGAAGTAAACAACCTCGACCTTAACAAAATAAGGTGTCATTATCCTTAGAAGATTAATAGATTACGTTAATATCTTTTATCAATTTGGTATTATAATATCACGGACGAGTGCAGACAACGCAAATTAACCTAATCATGCGGCTACGGTATGTAATGAACAAACTATTTATTATCTTACGCTTATTCTATAGAATATGTCCGATAATGATGGTGATAAGGAAATACGTAATTGATAAGGATTTACGGGTTTTAACATAGTGTAAGTGGACGGAGTAGGAGCAAAACTAACAAACTAAAATAATTAACACAACCAAAACTTCAATTAATTTCAAACATACAGGGTGTTGATTTCAACCCTCGCCATATTTATTTAGGTGGTCTATTATGACTTATATAAACACATTGTCCGCCATATTACAAACGAATGTGGAATTTTTGCGAATATTTTCCGTGCGACATCAACTGTACTGTGACTCGCTATACTGCAATAATTTACACCATCGAGCTACGCGGATCGATCGCTTATTATGTCGGATTTCTTCTGAAGGTAGACACGTAAAGTAGGTAGAGTAAATAGGTGTTTTTTTTTACTGATTCGTGATCAGAATAAGCTACTTAATCAACTCCTCAAATATGGCGAGGATTGAAATCAACACCCTGTATAGTAGATAAAATAACTATCAGACATACCTAACACGTAATAGAAACTAAAATAACGTATTTTTTTATTTTCTTCTCCTAATTAATGAAATTTTTGAAAATTTAAAAAAAAGTAGTAAAAGACTGAAAGAATAACAATAGCTCTTGGACCTGCTGAATAGATGCCTGTTGTTATCGATTATTTAGTTAAGGAATGTCCGATAAATTACACTTTCTTAACGTAAGGTAATTAATGTAGTAAATCCATTTCTCATATAATGAAATATTATGATGACTGTCAAAGTCAACCGAGTCACCTTCCAAATCGTAAGTACATTGTTTAATATTTTGCTAATAATAAAATAACATTTGAAAAATTTGCAAGGCCTAAATATTGTCAATATGTGTGTGCACTAATACTCGTAGATTATGAAGCTATTTCTGAAATTTAATAACAATTTCAATCTGACATTGACGTCAAAATAAAGAAAATAATGAACACCTAAATAACAGCTACATTCAAAAGCAAAATGTATTAAATCGTTAAATGAAATTCAAAAGGACTGGTGTGAAATGTGTAAGTCTTAAAACGATGAATATTCTAGTAATTTTGTCAGATAGCACTCCTAGGTGCAAAGGTTCACTATAAATTCATGCAAATTATCTATATTTTTATCTGGAATTAACGTGTCAATCAGAATGTAGGATCACTGTTAGAACCATAAAGTTAATATAATACCTAGCGGAATAGAGCAACAAAGAACTGAGCGAGCGAGATGTCACTAGCAGCAATCAGCAACCCTGTGAGAACACCATTGTAAGATGCGTGATGCCATCGCGGTCACATCAAACAGAACCGTTTTTTGCAACTATTTGATAATTCGGAGGCACTTAGTGGCACGCTAAAAATGTGAGCTATAAGATACTCGTATTTTCAGATTTTACGAGAGTGAGTGAGGGTTACCTGGATACGTCGTGGATATTTACGAGTAATAGTGCTTCAGAAAATAAATGTCGTGACTGGTTCAGTGAAAAATAATCGTGACGCTGACACACAAATGATATCATCCAAAATCGGTTTCGTTTGACAGCTCGTGGTTGTTGTTCTTTTCCAAGGGAAATATTCCCTCAACCAGTTTATGGTTAGAATCACTATGATACATAAAGATTTTTTATCTTAGTAGTGTTTTAGATTTTGGATTAAATAAAGATGTACAATAGATAGGCAATGCATTGGATCTTCGAAACCCGTGATAAGAAAGTTTACCATAAAATTAGACAACTATCTACCTAGATAGATTATCTAGATATACAAAATCAAAATTTGGCATCAATGACATGTAATAAAACAATTTGCATTGTGCATTCGTAGTTGTATCGTAAGCTTAATCTAATCAGATGCTACGACATGTCCATCAAAGCCTAACAGCGATAATACTCATGTACTAGCTATATCTGTGACTGTGTCTTTCTATAAATATCACTATTTAATCAACTTGCGAACATTTAATTAAAGCCAATCGACGCAGCTGCTGCTAATTAATTTTTAAGTGCAATAATGCCGCCGAACTTCGTTGATGTGTCATATCCTGAACCTGTCACGGTTGAGGATGGACCAAAGGAGAATGGGGGGCCACCGTCTCCGGGGATATCTACCCACGCGGGGCTGAAAGCTGTGAGGTCCTTGACGACTCTGCTGACCCACTTGTTTATCGGAATTGTCGTGGGAGTTTCGCTGTTCTGGTCATTCAGGAATGGTGTGCCGATTGGTCCCACGCCACAACACGTAGTTTTATGTGTCATAGGGGTGAGTAAATTTTATTTTTTGTGACTTTGTCAAGACGAGTGCCAGATTTTCTTCCATTTATATTTAGATAGGTGTAAAGTTCAGAACTGAATGTCCTATCCTACCTAATGTTTTTACTACCCTAAGTATTTGGAGGTGTTTAAGTCTAAACTAAAATAAAAAAAGAACGTTCCATAGACTCTATGGAACGTTTAAATGTAGCTTTTGTGAAAAACCAGACTACTTCTGAATATAAATAGACGTTTATGAAAGACGGAACTAAAGCAAATTTATTGTTTCCAGTTTCAATTCCTAATGGCAGAGGCCATTCTGTCCCTGGCTCCAGACAGCTGGTGCTCCACTTTGAACCTCAAGCACAAACGCTGGGTTCACACTGGCTTACAACTGGTCGGCTCCATACTGGCTCTGGTCGGCTGCTTCATCAAGATCGTTGACAAGAACGTTAACTTTAACACATTACATGGACAGTATGGTAAGAACAGCTGCTGATTAAATTTTTTCAGTCATGAAATTGTGACCAGTTTTCAGAGATAGAAACACTTCAGTGTTTTAATGTTTATCACTCCATTCAATTGATAACAAACGTCGCTTGAAGAGGCAACGACATTAGATACCGCAGTATTTAGTTTGATGTACTAGCCTCTATACCTTTTTAATTTTTGGACGTTTATTTTTTTCAAAACATTAGTCGCGCCATTTTATGAAATTCAACTTGCTATTTCTTTCACAGCTCTTGTGTCGATGGTCTTCACATCGGTGTCTTTGGTCAACGGTTTGACTTCCCTGTATGCGTACGAGCTCCGTAAGTTTATACCAGGAATCCTGTCAAAGCTGACGCACATTTGCTTCGGAGCCGTCGCGTTAGTCACTGCCTCTGTATCTTTGTGCTACGGCTTTGACAAAAACTCCTTCAGAAATGCGGTCACCAGCCCCTTTACTGACACCCTCATCGTCATGACAGGCGCCTTGACCACCATCATCATTATTAATCCTCTTCTCACTATGTACGCTAAATTCCTTGGTGTAATTAAGAAATAAGTCTATTTCTTTACCTTTTCCAATCTCATTTGGGGTCGGTCCGTAAGGTTTCAAGTCTCCAAAATAGTCTGTATTGGGTCATTGTTAAGAATCAAATAATTAGTAATGAATCATTAATTTAATATTCCATTTTGCTCAAAATGTTGTATTTTAAAACAGACGAATTATTTTGTTACATAAAGATTGATTTCTAGACCCAAGAGTCACAAATCGTGGTTGCTATATCTATGTTTTTAAATGTAACTACCGCAATAGGAGTCACAGATAAATGTACTAAAGTATTAAAATAATTACTTATGATCTGAGAAAATTCCCGTTAGCTGTTGTAACTAGGTAATTATTTATATTTTATAAACTAATAAGTTAATTATTAAATAAAGATATTGACATTAATCTATCTTGTATTTTATTTGGTTAAATAACATAAAACCTTCTGTTGCGATTTAAATACTTAAGACCCAGTACTATAATTACATTTCTATACGTAAAAGTCACACGGCAAGACCTTAAACCAATATTACCAATACTACGTTAGAATGTACCACTTGTATTATAATATGAAATGTGTAAGTCTTAAAACCTGCCACAAATGTTATGGTAACTTAGTCATACATAGTAACAATCCTAAAATCCGCAATGATCGCGATAAATTGTTGCATCAATTTATCTTGATTTGTATCAGGAATTTACGTTACTGCTATGATAAATCAGAATTTTTATCTTATTTAATTGAAATCGGAATTGAAATCATTTAATGTATACTATCACAGTGATTATAAGAGTCATGTTTTTTTAATTATTTTATCTCCCACATTGGACAAACTATTAAGGAGTAGTAGTAATGATGAAAATAATAGAGATGGTGGTAAACCAAAACAGTTACTATACCAGACATAACATGAAATATTGGTATCAATGAATTGTGTAATAAAACAATTGGCATACACGCTGTTCATAAAATTTGTGGTAACGCATCGTAAACTTAATCTAATCAGACTCTGTGACATGTCTATCCAAGCCTACAGCGATAATACTAATATACTAGCCATATCTGTGACGGAATCTGTCTATAAATATTACTATAATCTCGAATCGCGAGCATTTTACCAAATCCAATCGAAGCAGGAGGTGACTCTGAAGGGTTAGTTTTTAAAGTGCAAAAATGCCGCCGAACTTCATTGATGTGTCATCTCCTGAGCATGTCACGACCGTGGATGGGCCGAAGGAGAACGAGGCAACGTCTCCGACGATATCTACACACGCGGGGTTGAGGGCAGTGAGGTCACTGACCACTCTGCTGACCCACCTGCTGATCGGGATCGTGGTGGGTGTGCTGCTCTTCTGGGCGGTCAACAATGGCATACCGATGGGCGCAACCGCACAGCACGTGGTTTTATGTGTTATTGGGGTAAGCGAAATTTTTTTGCAACTTTGTAGCTACGAGTAGTATGGTATTCGCAGAATCTTGTTCATGATGAAAATTGCGTTTAAAGTTCCAAATCATGTCTTTATGTCTAAGTTTAAAATATAGGTTTATTATCATTGATATCTAAAAACTAACGTAATTATTATCTAAGCACTCCAACCTTTTTAATTCCTGAACATAAGTACTCGTATTAATGAATATTTGATTGCTATTTTTATCTTAGTTGTTAGTGTACATGTAAAAATGTACTATGCGATTCGCATTTGTAATATTTATCACATGCATACATCTAGAGGGATAAACTAAAGAGTTTTCGTGATAAACCATAATTTTTCTGGAGAAAATAATTATTCAAAAAGGTGAGTTGAAACTGAAGCAAAATTATTGATTCCAGTACCAATTCTTAATGGCGGAGGCCATCTTGTCCCTGGCCCCTGACAGCTGGTGCTCCACGTTGAGCCTCAAGCACAGACGCTGGGTTCACACTGGCTTGCAACTGGTCGGCTCCATCTTAGCTCTGGTCGGCAGCTTCATCAAGATCGCTGACAAGACCACACATTTCAACACGTTACATGGACAGTTTGGTGAGAAAAACTTTTAGCTGCTTGGTGACACATCTGTCAAAATAAAAAACCCTTGATAGCGTAATAAATTACGTCATGAATCGTTGCAGTTTTTGAAAGTCTTGTATTGTGAACCGTTATAGTTTTCAAAAGTTAATTCTGATTAAAATTATGGTCGCTTCATACGGTTGTTTAAAATTATCATTACTCACTTTTTATTTGACCTTTAAGTTTCAATAAGCTTATCATAATATTATTTTACAGCTCTCGTGGCCATGGTATTCACATCGGTATCTCTGGTTAACGGCCTGGCGTCCCTATACGCATATGAACTCCGCAAAATCATCCCGGGTATCCTTTCCAAGCTGACTCACATTTGCTTCGGGACCGTCGCGCTGGTCACTGCCTCCGTGTCCCTCTGCTACGGCATCGACAAAGGCTTCTTCAGAAATGCCATCAGCACCAGCTTTGCTGACGCCCTGATCGTCATGACAGGCACCTTGACCACCATCGTCATTATTAATCCTCTTCTCACCATGTACGTCAAAGTCAACGGCATTATTAGTAATTAAAAAACTCATGTAATTTGAAGTATTTTATAAATTAGCTCAGACTGTGTTGTATTTTAAAATTGACGAAAAATTATGTTACATGCAGATCGGTTTCTAGACCAAATAGTCGTGAAATCATATAGTTTCGCAGTTCGCAGTGTAATTGTACATAACTCAAATTCAACAATATAAATCACAGACAAATGTACTAAAATAATAACCTATGATCTGAGAGCATTCCAGTTAGCTGTTGTAAATATTTATATTTTTTTATTATTAGGTTTAAGATTACAATTAAATAAAGATATTGACATTGAAATATCTTTCTTGTTTAATTTAACTTAACATTAACCCCCGTTGTAGTAGGTACCTATTTCCATTTTAAAACAAAACAAAAGGAGATAAAAAATGAAGAGCACTGATAAGATTATTCGATTCAAATTCACTTCTGATAAGTACTTGTCAAACCCTGAAGTAAAAAAGAAATGCTGATGTAATATCTAAACTAAAACTAGCTGACCCGGCGAACTTTGTTCCGCCTTAATGGCAATAAATAAGCAGACTTTTTTTTAATTTCGAACGGGATAAAAAGTATCCTATGTCCTTCTCCTGGCTCTAAACTACCTCCCGGACAATTTTGAGCTAAATCGGTTCAGCCGTTCTTGAGTTATAAGCGAAGTAACTAACACGACTTTCTTTTATATATATAGATGTTAAAGTAGCCTTTGCACACGGTTTCACCCGCGGAAAATTTAGTTTGTCACATATCTTCATAAATTACTAAATCCGTTCAGTAGTTTTTATGTAAAAGAGTAACAAACATCCAGACATTTTTTTTATCCATAACGAGGAAGCTCTTGGCCTGTATCTCACCTGATGGTAAGTGACGATCAGGCCGAAGGTGGAAGCGAGCTTCACCCAAATCCTCAACCACGGAGGAACTGGCTATCTTACCTCTAACTGCCGGAACACAACAATGCTGTTAACATTGTTGTTATGGCGACAGACTTAGGTAAGATGGTGGTAGCTAGCCAGGCGGACTTAGAACAAGCCCTACCACCAACCAAACCGAACAGAAAAATCTGTCCCCACTGGGAATCGAACCCGGGACCTCTGCGTCTGAAGCAGGTGGTCTTACCACTAGACCACAGAGGCGGTTAACATTCAGACAACCATACAAACTTTTGCATTTATAATATTAGCAGGACAATCATAAAATAAGGTGTTTAAAAATAGGGTGGAGCGAAAATTTTTTTTTTCAGATATCTGTAATGTAATAGTCAAGATTTTGTGCCTTTAGGGCTTAAATGAAGTCATGCAAAATATTAATCAATTCGGTTTAGAGTAACTGCCTCCGCATCGACACTGATTTTTTCGGCGCCCTGGCCTTCATCACTGCTTCCATCTCCTTGGCCTTCGCAGTCAACTACGTCTGGTTCGTTGCTTTCCTCACCAGAGAATATGCTGACGCTGTTTTAGTCATGATTTTTTTCAGATATCTGTAATGTAATAGTCAAGATTTTTTGCCTTTAGGGCTTAAATGAAGTCATGCAAAATATTAATCAATTCGGTTTAGAGTAACTGCCTCCGCATCGACACTGAATTTTTTAATAAAAGTTGGTTTTAGACCTCTCTAAGGCGCTACATATCTCTGCAATATTGAAATAAAAATACTATTTTTTTATCACAAATCGTTTACTGATATGCTATACTTTCAATGTAAAATACACAAAAATGCCAGGCTTTGGGTTTATAATTTTAATAAGGGCGTGAGAGAGCGCGAGAAGAGAATTTTTCTGGCCCTTTTCGCGACTCGCGTCTTTGTCAGATAGTCTACTGGAAAAGCTCTGGAAACATGTGAGAAACTGCCTATCTATAAATTTGAACAAATTGAAGGACAAAATGTGATCAGAAATGGCCAATTATCTGAGTACTGATCATGCAAAGATGGCACCCGTCATCTGTTTAAAATTATAATGGCCTCAAGAGGGCTGCCAGATACCCTATGAAAGATTAAAGAACTAGTTACCTGGAGAAAAAGCTATTACGAGTATCCTGATAGCAGTCTTCTTACGATGTCAGATAGCTGGCCGCTTGTCGCATACTAAAGTCACACAGTACGAGTCACCCTTCAATACCTAGAATTTTTTAAGTACTAGTGATACACTTTAATGCTATTTTATATATTTATTTAATTTACTTAACCAAACAGCCGCTTTTGAGATATTTAATTGACTAAGAAATTCNTTTTTATTTAATAACGAAAAAACTACATGCTATATTTCCCAAACTGGCACACTGCCTAATTATATCTAACATTACTTTTCACCTAAAAAATATTTCACCAAGTTATCTCTAATAGCGACGAAGCAGGATTTTTTTTAACTTCAAATGCGATTTCCCAAAAATCACCATTTTCGACTTAACTCCGTTTTCACTGGGGGTACAGACTTGACAGTCTAAAAGACCGCAGGCTTTTGCTTGACCTCGTGTTCCTCTAAAAAATCGTCAATAGTATTGCAGACTGTCCATGTTTGTTAGGATTAATAAATCTCAATGTTCCCTTTAAACGCGTAGTAGTATGTATGTTCCCTTTTATATTGAAGGCAGCAAAAGCAATTTTATTATTTCACAGTCACCATGTACAGACTCCAAAGTTTAAGACAGTTTTTAACAGTCTCTCAAATAACCTTGATCATTTAAGCGCTGGTCGTTGTGGAAGGAAATCCTTGGAGGAGGCTTTTGTCCAGCAGTGGACGTCATTTGGCTGAAAAGAACGAATGAACGAACCTTTCGAACATGCTATTTCTTGGCTATTTCATGATATCGAATTAAAAAGTATATTTTTACATTTTTAAATAACCGTGGCATTAAAAATATCAGTAGGTATTTCTGAACGTTAACTAAATTGTCAAAAAAATTTTTTTGACGTTTGTCTGACAGCCCAATTTCTTTCTTGTCAAAGTTGTCAAAAAATCAGCTGGAATTTATTTTTAACAATTCCATTTCGAAGACGATTTATTTGAACAATATTCGCTGTTAACAGTGCTCAATTAACTAATAAACGAAACCAATCTTACTAATAACCATGAGATGGACTGTGCACCTTGATGGTGGCCCAATGAGGGTAAACCATGCTGCTGTTTGTATTGACAACAAAATCTACTCGTTTGGAGGATATTATTCATCTGAAGAATATAAGGATTGGGAGCCAATTCCTGTTCATGTCCTGAATACTGCTACATTACGTTGGTCAGCAGTCAATTATAAAAAGAATGATGTGGTTCCATTCCAAAGATATGGACACACTACAGTCGCGTACGGGGACAAAGTAAGTTGGATTGAAACAATCTGTTTATTTATAAAACCACTATAAATAAGTATACAGGTATTTATGTAAAATTCTATCTTGACTTTCAGGTTTACATGTGGGGCGGGCGAAATAATTCTGTAGCATGTGAAACGTTATCTTGCTTTGATACCAAGACACTTGAATGGAGCGCCCCTGCCGTGTCCGGAATGGTGCCCTTCGCCAAAGACGGGCACTCGGCCTGTGTGATTAGAAACAAGATGTATATCTTTGGAGGATTTGAGTATCTCACTGATACGTATTCCCAAATTGTACATTGCCTTGACTTGGAGACAATGAATTGGACTCTAATGGATCCCACCGGAGCGATTCCTTCACATAGAGACTTCCACACAGCAGTTTCTGTTGGTGACAGGATGTATATATTTGGAGGCCGGGGAGACTTAAACAGTCCCTATAACTCCCAAGAAGAAGTATACTGCTCACAAATCTTTTATTTAGATACAGTGACAGAAAAGTGGATGGCTCTCAACCCAAGAGGAACATGGCCTGAAGGAAGACGCAGTCATTCTGCATGTATGTTTTTAAATATAATTATAATATATCAAGACAATGATTTTGTATTGTATCTGCAACCAAACATTATTCCTCATGATGATTTGATGAAATTTCAGGGCTCCACAACGGTTTCATGTATATTTTTGGAGGATTCAACGGAAACACAAGAACTCATTTCAATGATCTCTATAGATATTCATTTAAAGATAATTACTGGCAGTTTTTGAATGTCAAGGGTGCAGTACCCTGTAAGAGACGACGCCAAGCGTGCTTAATATATGAAGATAAAGTTTATTTGTTTGGTGGAACCAGGTAACTTTGTTGAATTCAAGACTATTTCAATTTATGAATATTTAAATAACCACTAGCTGTTATGTTAATAATCTTAACAACATTATGTTCCAGCCCCTGTCCCCATCAGAATATACGTCCCACAGATAACTTGGATGATGACCCAGAGAAGTTGATTGATAACAGTGATCTCCATGTGCTTGATTATGCACCGACTCTCAAGACCCTTAGTATTCTCACTGTGTTGGAACACAACCTAGAACATTCTTGGTTGCCACATGATATCTTGTAAGTATAATGCACCTTAGAAGTGTGAGTGTGTATGTTTGTTTGTTACTTTTTCACGTCTAAACAGGTGGAGCGATTTTAATATTAAGATGGAGTTAGCTGACACCCTGATTAACACATAAGCTACATGTCCAGTCAGCATCAAATAGTTCATTACACCCAGTGGCCAAAAAGTTGACATCACAACTTTACTCCAATATTGTAACAAAGACGTGTTGCGAACTTTTTGGCTACTTTGGGTGTCACGAACACCGGTGGCTACTGGCACAGCAGCTAGTTATAAATAGTTTGAATATTTACCTTAACTGGGGTTGCAATGGTAATTTCTCATGGGGCCTTACTTTATTGAGCTTATTAAGTATTTATACATATAGAAGTTTTAAGAAACTTGACAATAGGTATAGCGTAAAAATGTAAATCCTCATTACACCACATTACACACCAAAAATCAGTACATTTAGAACATAGGTATGACATGGCCTGTTTTCACAGTATTTATTATACATTATTTATTTTATTATTTTACGCTTTTCAGACTCGACATCCGCGCCATGACATTGCCTAACAGGATCAGCAGGCCATTTAACCAATCGGGCTGACAGGTTCGACAGTGGCATTGAATTGGATTGCCACAATTTAATGGGTTTCCCATGATAGTCACAGAATATTAAACGTCTTCTTTCATTCTGACATCTCTGTGCAAAAATGTTAACGATATAATAAATAAGCAACCTATCTGGACTGCACATTCTTCAAATTAATGTAGTTCTTCCTTATGAAAATATCAATAATAGTAATAATTGTTCCACAACTCCAGCAATTGTAGTCCCGAGATTAAGAAGTAAAGATGACTCAAAATGAGGAGAAGTACTTTAATTTATTGATATGAGTATATTTATATTTTATGTGATGTTGTCTGGTTAAGAATGAGACAAAATTCTGAGATGCATGTAACAATTTTTATATGCATAATTTATAATTTTTAAGAGAAGATACTGATAATTATTTTCATTATCTTTATATTCACTCTATTTGTATGTTCATGATTAACAAAAATGCCCTGTTTGAAAAATCTACATATTTTAATATTTGTTAAGATTAACCATGTTTTATAGACTCGGCGTCAAATAAATCGCACCTCCCGCCACAAGCACTTTCAAACGCATCCCCACTTCTCACCAATATTGGTACGATTTGAAAGCCTGGTTCTAAACAGGCCCTGTTTAGAACCTGTTTAACAGGGAAGGTGTTTGTTTACCCCAAAAATGGGTCTTTAGAAGGATCCAGTGTCTCTTAAAGCGACAAGTAGTTACCTACGCTTGAGCCAACTTTTATGGTTATAAAACTGTTAAATTGGGATTAATCGCTATCCATCTGTTAAAGACGACACGTGAGATCATTGTTTTTATAACCACAAAATTTGGTCCCATATTTATGGTACCTGTTAATTGTTTATAAAAAAATTAAATGTTCTTAAGTTTATTTATTGGGATTTCAAATAACACCATTAAAGGCACCATGATTGTGACAGCAGAAAATCTTTAAAGTTATTGTCACGGGAGATGCGATTTCTTTGATGCAGAGTGTAAAAAGATTTTAAATAAAGAGAATTCGGAGGAAAACGAACAATCCACTATCTTCCTGTTTTCTGTACATGGGATAAAACATGATTTTAGTGATTGTTATAAGGATACATTACATTTCTTTGGCTATAATCCTGTCAAAACTAGTAATTTTATGTTTCATTTGCTGTACAAGTATTGCTTAGGGGGCACTTTTTGATTAGCCCACATTGTTGTTAATGGCGTTACAGTTATGGAGAAAACACCCTTTGTTATTGCTGGTATAGATAGATAGCTAATATTGGTTATGTCCCAAGTTCAGATTGTATTTTCAATGTTCCTCGAAATATGTATTTTTAGCAATTGGCAAGGGCAACTTATACTAAGTCATTTATCATGAAATAAATAAAAAAAATAATGTCATTAAAAACTTATTTTTATTCATCTTCTTTAACAATATGTTTTCTTCGCTCAGAAATATGTGGCACGGCTCCCTTTTTACTGTGGGCTCTTTTGTTGGCTTCTTTCCTCTTGTTCTTCTCTTTTATGATTCTATGTTCCTTCTGAGCGTTGTACACATGTTTAGGAACATGTCTGTGACGAGCAATCCGTTTAACTTGAGGGTGGTTAGCAAACTTTTCTTTCAAAGCATCTGCATAATGTAAAGCTGTCCTTTCACGGGGCTTGAGCTGAAAAGACATTATATTAGGCATTTATAAGTAGGATATTATACTATAAAAAAGACAAGTTTTCTACTGAACCATACTATTCCCTGATTTTCAGTTATCAGCTTTAGGCAGTTCGATTTTTTAAGTTATTTATTTAAAAGCTAGTTTGAGAAGCGGCTCGTAATTACTAAGAAATTTTAAATAAGAATAATACTTACAACTCCAAGTTTTTCAGAAGCTCTGGCTTTCCACATCCTAATATTCATTTCATCAGACCCGGAGAGTACATATTTGTTGTCCAAAGACCACTTGACACAGGTCAGTCTTTGCATTCTCTTTGTATGATAGACGTCTCTAGAATGTCCTTTGAGACTTTCAAATATTCTGACAGTTTTGTCGTAGCTGCCAGCCACAAATTCTCTGCCAGTAGGTGCATAGTCAACGTCAATAACTGCTGATGTGTGGTCTACGTGGATGTTAATGGGATGGTCGAGTTTCCTCACATCAAAAGTGTACAAACTAAAATTAAAATAAAACATTATTTAACAACTACCCAGAACATTAAGTTGTGGGTGGAAGACATTATTTATTAATAAACAACTTTACAATTTAAACAAGTGTAAGTAAGAATAGGACACCTTAAACTATAATAATTTATAGAACTCCATTGTTTAATAGACTATTAAAATTAACATTTTAGGAAAAGGTTGTCTGTGATAAGAGTTCAAAACATACTTACTTGTAGTCTTCATTAGCTACAGTGAATATGAAGGCCTCCATGGGATTCCAAGCTAAAGCATTGGACCTCAATTCCATGACAACTTTCCTGAGAGGACCTGATTCACGGCAGTCATATAAAATTATGCTTCTGTCACTTGCACAAGATGCCAGCAAATTGTGTTCCACCTGTAATCAAAATAAAAACATTTTACATTATAGTATTTCATGAAGAAAATATTAATTAAATAGCAATAAATTGAGATAAACTACCTGATTAAATGCTACATGATGGAGACTGTCAACACCCCACTTAAAAACTTTGACTGGTTCATTCCTTGTATTCTCCCACAGTTGACAATGTTCTCCACAAGTGGCAAAGATTGGCTTCACTCTATTATGAGTTACACCAGTCACAACAGACATACTCAGTAATGTGTTGACTGGATCCTCGTCATCGGGTGACTGAACCTCACTCTTCCATAATTTGATAGTTTTGTCATCGCCAACGCTAGAGAAGCATTCCCCACTCGGTGTGTAACAAAGAGAACGGACCCAACCCTCGTGAGCTACAAAATTGCGGGTACACTTTCGAGCAGCCAAATCCCATACTCTGATCTCCCCATCGAAGGCCCCACTCGCCAGAACTGCTAGCCTATTAGGATGCTTAGCCATAGATGAAACTCCATCTCTGTGTCCGTCTAGGTTCCCCACAAATGGCTTCGCAAACACTCTTTCCAACTTGACAGCATTTAGAGCTCGTACATATTCTCGCGGTGCTTCAAGTGGGTGTAAGCTGGGGTCGTAATTTCTAGGCACTGAAATAATATTATTAAAATGTATTCGAGAGATATCAATGTAATAAATTACATTAAACAAAACCAAACTTCAGTCTTACGTTTGTGTATATCCTTTTTAGTCGCTCGCATATAATCTTCAGGGTTTCTGCTTATAACTTTTATTTTTACATTAGACATTTTACGTAATTCTTAGTGTTTGCCCTTTTTCTTAGCAATCAATACCAATAAAAAATATTTTTGAGCTGAAAATGAAATCTAACCTCTCTGTTTGCAAAAATAATAACACGCGCGCGCATACTACTTTGACATTGACTGACACTGACAATGACAGATTTTTTTTTAAACAATCCACAGACTCTGTCCAAAGATCTGTTATTACTGGAATTACTCATTCGTGCGAATGCGAGGCGAATGGTAAGGGCGAATAGCACGCATTGCATACAGTTTTTTAAGTATAAACTTAAAGACGTGTTAATTGTGTTTTGTATTCAAACATTAAGAGCGCTTTCACATTAAGGCGATTTAACAAATTCGAGGCGATTCGACAAACGCGCGCCAGACGCGCTACCGAAAAATTTCATTGTATGTGACAGCGGAATGCATGTCTTCACATTTGCCGCGCTGCTATTGCTCTAACTAATTAAGTGTGAGTTATCGAATTCACATCAATTTTCGTTACAGAGCATTGATTTACATTAGGGCTCCTCCATAGTATTGTTATATCATTGGAATTGTCTGTCCTGTCATCTGTGATATCTGTCACTAATGTCAGTCAATCAAAATAATTGTTGTTCAGAAAAAGTGGCTTTCCGAACTTTTCCTGTAGATTTAACAAAAAAAGCTCTTGTGGTGTCTACAATTTATTTTTCCGCTGCTCTCTAATAATAATTGTAAATAATAAATACTTACAAAGTGACAATTATTAATGACTTGAGAAAATAATAACCGGGTAAGTGATGTGGATTGTGGATGTCTTTAATTTTGAAAGCTTAGATCTAGCTTACTTTCTTGAACAAGGTAAATTAAAAGCTTCTAAAAATACAATTTATTTTGCCAGTTTATGGTAGTGGAATGGAAAATATTTATTTTATTCCTTACACGTAGTAGGAACAATTTAGGTACCTACTTTTGTTTGATGTTGTATTTTTCATCAATTTTAGCACATTTCCTAAATATTTAAAAGTAGTCATTACATACTATACTATTTATTATTTTGATTATTTTGAAGATAATTATGGCCTGTGATAATTGTGAAAAACATAATATATCTTACATAGTAGTCTTCTTGACCAGTTCTAAAATATTATTGCTAGTTAAGTCGAACACTACTTATAATGAATGAAAAAAATATTCATACTATGCATTTAACAGTGATTTTAAAATTATTAAAGCCAGCTTAGATTGACAACTCTTCACTTTTAAAAAAAAAGTTTTAATTGCAATCTGCAAGATTTTTTAAAAAATTTTTTTTTTATAGTATGGAGTATTCTGGTTTCTTACTTTACCATGCATCCAATTAATCAATAATATAATCATTTGTCAATAAAATTGTACACTTACACTAAGTTTTTTCAATAGATATTTTCAGTGTCTATTGCTGGTTGACTAAATAGTTAAATAAATAAAAAAAATCCTTTCCTTTGTTTTTCATGAAGTTTAATAAGTAGTCGGCTTTGTATAAATTAAGTTTAAATTCAGGCCTGCTCTAAGGACTAGGAAACTGTTGGAGAATCCCACATGACACAACTAGCTGTGCACTGGTATATTGAAAGCATTAAGACAAGTTTTCTAATTAGGTATTTGCAGAAAACTTGGTTCACATCACATTAATGGATATTCACTGCAATAGTTTGTGACAACTTATTTTTTCTTTTAAAAGATTTAATAAATCTCATCACACAGACAGACAGTCTTCATAATGTAGTTGATATTATATTTTTATTTATTTAGATAATGATAATAATTAAGCCTTGAAGAATTCAATTAAGAACATGTTTCAAAGCTAAAAGTTTAAATTTCATTGCATTTTGGTAGAATTTGTAATTTCACAAATACAATAAGTACCTACCACATTAAAATTTATGCAGTAAAAAGTCATTAAAAGGTTAAATAGTGTCATCATATTTATCATTTTGAATAGGCATCTGAATCACAATTTCAGTTGACTTCTAAATTGATGATATCAGCCAGCATCCTCTTAAAATTAGGCACGATTCAGTAGTCGAGATGCGATTTAATTGAATGTCGTCCACTGAACCACACCATCGAACAATCTATCATAGTGTAGAGAGAGATAAGGTCACCGCACCGGGCACGCCGCGGTGCCCCAGTCAGCGCGTGCGTTCACTTGCCGGCGTTGCCTCGCCGCGAATGTACTGATTCAGATTGGCGCGCGCTCTCGTCTAACACGTCACTCAATCGCCTAGTTTTCTGTGATGATCCTGTGTACAACAAAGCTGTAAAAAGCTCTGATCACCCCATTTAACGAAAACAGCAGTGGTATACCTAACTAATATCTGCCAGAAAATCGACGTCTAACGTCCCATGTGAGTAGTAAAAGTAAACTAATAAACTAAATGTATCTAGATCTAAACTAAGTATTCAGCTCAACTTGAGCTTCACATTGAAGCTTTTCTACAGTCTTTTGGTTCATTGTACAATAATTTGTCGTCGTTTTAATTTAATGGTGACTTGTTAATAAAAAAGGGGCACAGCAACTAGCGGTCCATTTGTTTATCGTTTCACCAGATTGATAATGCGAACTGTCGGGAATTAATATTAAACTGAGTCGTATGTACGTGACTTGTGTCTCGTCCTCTTATGTTCTTCTAAACAGCTCTACAAAATGGATCACGACCGACTTCGCCAATTTGCGAGAGTTTTCCATTGTTGTTGTAAACAATAATAGAACACTGTTATTGATTTATTTTTAATATAAGGTCACATGTGTCTATGTCCGTTTAGTCAATCACATTGTTTTTCCTTGGATGGATGACTCAATTTCCAATACAATACATACTACTAAATACCAAGATGTAAAAATGATTTTTGTTTGTAAGACTGCCAGAATGTTTGTTGTCTTGCCCTACTCCTACTAAGTATACTATTATCTGTCCTTTGCTTTCGCCTACTTATACTACAGTCCCTTTAGTTATTAGGACGTCAAACCGGTCCGGATTTTCGTATTCTAGGGTCCAACAAAACTCCTAACATGGTTGCAACAATGCTTTCTAATAGCGTTTATAAAGTCTTCGAGTATAACTAGAACATTTGAAGTTCAAGCACGATTAAGTATCTGCTGACTCATTCTGGGACAGCATACGACCCGAATTGAGAGCACCATGGAATAGGAATAATATGTAATACAACATACATTTTTACAGTAATTTCTCTCTTTAAATAATGTTAAGTATTGTAAGTGTATTGTCGATGATACTGAATAATCATTTTTTATTTCTTTCTTTCTTTCTTCTTTCTTCTTTCTTCTTTCTTTCTTTTTGATCATCAAAACTAAAAATTAGTCACATTATCTTTGTAGATACATTCATGAATGAAACACCTACTAAGTGTCTTCATAAGTCTGCTGGTATAGATCGTATTTTTCTGTTATCTGAGGAATAGGATTGAATTAGTGCTCGAAAAGTCTCCTAAAACCTTTTTGAAACAACAAGACTTGCTTTTAGGACTGTTACCCTTTCAAAGCTTCTAAAAAATGAAGCTCCATTAAAGTCCTAAAGATTAAAAACTTGTTAGGTCTGAGTCAGTCCCACGAAAAGCCAATGCTTTTTCAAAATCTTGTATTTATCTTTGTGAATGCCAAATGTAATGTAAATATGTTCTTGTAATGTATCACAAAGTTCGTCGGACCCTTTTCGGATATCGCAAACACTGACCATCTTCCTCCACGTTTTATGGTTATTTTATTCAGATTTTCTTGTCCGATTTCAAATGTCACAAACACAACACAGTAGCTTTGCTTCTCTACTTATGTTAATAAAGTCCCATAAGACTCCTGTTGATGACTAATATCACCATAATCAGCTTCACAATGCGATGTTATTATTAACTAGGCTAATAAAAAAAACGAACGAAGCAATTAAGTATGCCCCTGAATCTGTCACTTGCAAAAGCTACGCGCTGCTTTAGATCTAAAGATTGCCCTACTTCAAGTGAAGCTTAATTTTACCTAGTTTAATCTATTAATTATCGTAAACTTTAAGCTAAGAAGTAAATGCATAGTTTAGACTTAAAGTACTAACCGGCCACTGCAAACTAAACAAACACAAATCAAACATGAACATTGAGGTGTATCAAGGAAACACGGGTTTAGCGTTAGACAGTATATTGACAACTGGGCGGTCGTGCCGCGATCGGGCGGCGCGTCGCCTGCGCATACATAGATATAAGTACATACGTAGGTATAGATCCACCGCTATAGACTATAGACATTACATATCTCTGCCCTTAATCAATACTATAGGTATTTCGTAATAAACCAGAAACCAGAAGCATTAACCAAGTAAACCAAAATTTTGCTCAACCTTAATTAACTGTAAAACTTATATTAACTATGACATTAACAGCCAGTATACAAAACTTCTAGATTATCTAATCTACTTATTTAAATACAATAAACGGAAACTATAAACCATAAGTGTACGAGTAATTTTAATCTGCTATATAATAATATTCTATTAATAACTAGCTCCAGGGAGAACTCAACATAACTAGGGACACTTCTAATTACAATATAGTTGATACATTTTTTTGTGTGTAAATATTTTGTAAATAACACATAAAATATTTATTATAAGTAATTTTTTAAAGTTAGTTTTTAAGTAGTTATGTAGAAACATTCAAATAATGATAATACAAGTAAGTGATGTTTTATGAATGATATATTAATCTTACTAATATTACAAATGCGAAAGCCTGTAATCCTGTATGGATGTCTGGATGCCAACATGTTTGCCACTCTTTCACGCAAAAACTAGTGAACGGATTTCGATGAAACTTTACAGTATCACTGCCCACAACCCAGAATAACATATAGGCTACAATTCATGACGATCCGTGACAAACCAAATTTCACGTGGGCGAAGCCGCGGGCAAAAGCTAGTACAATATAAAAATAAGACGATAGTAAGTACTTAAAACAAATCTTTGTAACGAGGTGGGTTATTTACTCTGCATTGTCTCATCGGGCGAGCCTGGGGCGGTTCAGGAAGGGGCGAGCGAGGGGGCGGCGGAGTGTCCTGTACATTTCCTTCTATGCAATCCTCAAACCGGTCCACCGACTCACTGTTCGCCGCTTCAGGCGACTTCTCCCTGCTCGAACTAGGCGACCCCTGGCTTTGTGAATTGCCCAAGGTATCCGTGCTTTGACCTAGAGGGCTGGAAGGACAGATTAGTGAACTGCGTTTCCGTTGCTTAAGTTGATCGATGTGTTTGTGTGACTCCCTACCTAACTCATCGATAACCCTATAATCTGTAATTCCTATTTTTTTTGTAACTTTCCCTGACACCCACTTATCGCGCCCGCTGTATTGACGCAGCCAAACCTCGTCCCCCGGGCTAAGGGCGCGCGACCCTGTAGCACCACTTTCCTGTTGTTGTTTTTGGGCCTTATGAACCTTAGTACTCCTATCTGGCCTTAGCGCATCGAGTTTAGTGCGTAACCTACGACCAAACATTAGTAAAGCAGGTGTTTCCCCTGTTGTGCAGTGTTCTGTGTTTCTATAATGCAATAAAAAAGTATTCAAAGACGCATTTATATCAGAGTTGTCCCTAATGGCTTTCTTAATAGTTTTCTTTACGGTTTTTACTGCATTCTCGGCGGCCCCGTTGGATGCAGGGTGATATGGTGCCGAAAATAGGTGTTCCACCCCTATAGACTGCAAAAACATTGAAAATTCGCTACTCGTAAATGGTGGGCCATTATCTGATACTATTTGTTTCGGTAAACCAAATCGTGAAAAAAGATCACTTAAAAACTTAATACTGTGACTAGCTGCCGTACTAGGTACCTGGGTGACCTCTAGCCATTTTGTTCTCGCGTCTACTAATACGAAATACATTTTTCCTAATATGGGGCCTAGNAGACCATTTTATGAAAATTAGAGGAATTGCTTATGATCTGCTATGAATTCTGGAAATGAATTCCTTTTAGCAATGTTGCGTGATTTGGCCTTTTTAGGCCCGCTGCTATGAATTCTGAAAATAAATTCCTTTTAGCAATGTTGCGTGATTTGGCCTTTTTAGGCCCGCTGGTAGAGAAAGTTATTTTATTTATTAATTTGAATTATGCTTGATACACAAAAAATTCAGTTGTAGTTTGTTTTCATATTTCTAAATGATTTCAAAAGTTACATTGAAATAGAGGTAAAGTCCATGGACTATTTATTAAAGTATGATGTATTTATTAACTTGATGAAATATTATATCAATTGTTCATAATATTGAAATTATTCAGTTTAATCTCTCCTTAGTACACGTTACATGTAGTGCACACTTACAAAATAATTATTTTATGTGGTTAAATTTGTGAACATTTCGTGGATTTAAATCCCGCCTGAGGCAATTAGTTTTTTTTTCTCAAAGATGTAGGTTAATTTCTCAGTTATTTCTTTAACACATTAGGTATTATTTGCACAGTTTGCATACAAAATACATGATGTTACATAAAACTTTTAATTTGGTTTTCTCAAATTTAAATGTAAAAAATGTACTTATTGGCGTTAGGTACAATCGGTTTTGGAATTTTTTAAGTAACAACTCTTTTTAGGCTTTCAATTATATTAAGATTGCAATATCCAATCATTTTTTTGCATAATAATAATATTAAGTAAAACATCGTAATCAGTATGTCCTTATACATTTAAATTCTTAATAAAGTTTAAAATTAAGTAACTAAATCATAAAATTGCTAATATCAATTTTATTGCGTTAAAATGTTGATAGTTTTATTTTTACATCTGTTGATTTAAAATTCTTTGTAAATTACAATATTTGAATTGCATAATAATATAATTTAAAACATCGTCTTACTTTTGCTAGGTAGGTGATTGCATCATCTTGCATCGAACCATAATAATAATAATAATAAATAATAAATACTCTTTATTGCACACCACATTGTAAAAAGAAACAGAAAGAAAAGGCATATTAAAATTTGTCGACACGTGTTGTAGCATCAGCATTTTGCGAAATATGAAACCCCTTCTTTATAGAGAAACGAACACTGGATGAGCGTAATTATACANTCATTTAATACCTTCTTAGTAATAAATAGAGCGCAATATTTCACCTTAGACGACTTTCAAATTTAAATAAAATTTTAAAATTTTGAAGTCACTGCGGAGGCAGAAGATATTTATTAAATGGGGTAAAAAAATACAGTTATTTATACTTTCATATAAGGCACAAATCCCCACCTATTAGAACTTCGAAACTAAAAAAAAATTTTTTCCCATACAACCGTGCTCCACCCTCGTGTTTAATGATAAGACGAATTCACTTGATTTTTCTTCGAAAGATACTTATTGTTTTTACATGATTTTTAATGTGTGATGATAATTTGTACCAAAATGTAAGCCTACTGACAGACTGGGGAATAATGATTATGAAAATTCATAATTATTATTGTATCTATATGAATCACTTTTAATCTTATTTTTGAAAATACGTCAGACCTGAAATTCTTTATCAATGCATTGTTTTATGATTATTGCATTATAAAATCATTTTTTCACTAATTACGGCTATTTAACTATCTCCATCAGAGTAGGCTGTGACGAGTAGAATATTTTTACTATAGAAAATGCTGCCGAATTTCGCTGACGTGTCGCCTTCTACAAACGTTAATGTGGTCGAAGGGCAGCCGGAACCTCCAGAATCTGTTACTCCTGAAGTAAACCCATCGCATGCGGCCTTAAAAGTGGTCAGGTCCTTGGCAACAATTTTTTTTTTTTTTGTTTTTTATAATAATAAATCTTTATTTCATTACCAGCGGAATTGCTTATAATTAATAATGATCGATGCCTCCTTTTAAGCTTAAAGAAGCCTGTGCCAGGAGACATCGCTCTTCCTTGGAATATTGTGTGTGCGTAAATACAATTCAATAGTAACACACATGCTGATTGGAATTGTTGTGGGCTCGATTCTTCAGGCAACGGTCAGATTTCTTCCTGCTGGTGCAACTGCTACTCATATTATTTTATGCGTTATTGGGGTAAGTCTATTACTGGAAACGACTGTTAATTTAAAAAAGTATTGCCAGTTTAGTGCCAGTGTAATTCATTATTTTTCACGTTCCATTTTCCCAGCCACTAATTCAGCACAAGTAAATAATATGTTTGTATCTTCAAAATTGGTCTCTTAAGTTTCTCATCTCCATATCATTTATGTCTCCATATCATACTAGCTGCTGTAACTAACGCCAGATCGTGTTTGGTATCAGTTTCAAATGCTGATGAAAGTATCCACTGTCTGGCCCCAGACAGTTGGTGCTCTACCCTGAGCCTGAAGCACCAGCGCTGATTGCACACGGGTCTACAGATCATGGGCTCCGTGCTAGCGCTGGTTGGTTGCTTCATCAAAATCTTCGATGTGGGCGTCAACTTTACCACGTACCATGCACAGTTTGGTAAGCAAAAGGAACATCTTCTCATTTTGGGAAAGCACTCGGCGAAATGTATTGAACATTTCCGAAAGGGGTGATGCTGGTGCTCAATGCAAATCTAACATCAAATCCTTTGTAGGTATTCATCTAACATAGAATATTTAGTCAAGTCCAAAAATTAAAGCTCTCGTTTAATAATTCAATTAGTTTATGTGTTGTAGATTAATGCATAATTATGCATAAGGTAACTTTCTCCCACAGCTCTGGCGTCCATGATCTTCATAACAGTATCTCTGGTCAACGGAGTAGCATCTTTGTACGCGTACGAACTCCGCAATTGTATCCCCGGCATCCTTTCAAAGCCGACACACATCTGCTTCGGCGCCCTCACCCTCATCACTGCTTCCATTTCCTTGGCCTTCGCAGTCAACTACGTCTGGTTCGTTGCTTTTCTCACCACAGAATATGCTGACGCTGTTTTAGTCATGATTGGCGCATTAACTACGATCGTCATCATCAATCCTTTCCTTACTATGTACGCCAAATTTAATGGTGCTATCAGTAGCTAACATATCAATTACAGTTTTGCAATTCATGGACTTGGATTGATTTGTCAATGAAGAACTTAATTGATTCTATTTATACATATATCGTCATCATGTGGATATTGCATGTCATATTCAATGATTGGTCGAATATAGTTTTGTCTGTCTGTAGATAAACAACAAAAATGGAACACTTAATTTTATCAGAGTAAGGTTAAGGCTTTTTCTAGGATTTTTTCTGGTAAGTATTGTGAAAATATGTTACTACCTAACTCCTTTTACACATGATCTGAATTAAATTGTTTTTTATCTGTGATTTAATTTAATCTTCCTAGTTAATATAAACAATTACTTAGCGCTTTAAGACTAATAAATTAATAAATGATGATGTCTCGTCGTTTTATTGGGATTTCGATCAAAAACAATAATAAGGAAAATAATGAGATCTCAAACACGGATTTACCCTCAACGAATGAATACCTACTTCTCTCTATCAGCATCTTTAGGTCAACTTGCACTCTCATCCAGATAACCAAGATACAATAAATTCTGTTGTCATGTAGGTATGTTGTGATAACAACGTCTTTATAATATTTATCATTGAAGTCGATTTCGAGATGTCACTATCAAATGCGATAGGTATTTTAACAAACTTCAAAGGGCTTATTAAAAAAGTTACACGGGCGTTTAACGCTTGTTTAAATTGAAATTAATGTCATTTTAACGTCCGTTTAAGTTTTTTGTGATAACTCGACCAATCTTTAGAAAGTGAGCGCTAAGAGCACCGTGTATCTTATTTTTTGAGGCGGATTTTATTTTTATTTTAGAAGAATAATATTGTTATCATTGTATTAATGATTAGACGGTTTTTACGTAAAATTATCTGAAATTCCTTAGAATAATTACCTACGATAATTGATGTGATTAAGCATTACCTACATTTTTTTATCTGGTTTATCATAATAATTAAGATTATATTCTAAGCATTTTAATTCTCATTCGGCTAACAGTTAGTTTCTTTTTAGGCTCGATATACATATAATATCCTTTTGAGCCCGTGAGTTATGGTTAAAACCGAAGACCATAGGGACTTCGAGTAAAAATAAAGAAAACATAATAATATAATATCTTTGATTAATGAACTCCACACGTGCCACTGACTGATATAAGTCTTATCGTATTGACATAAGTAGTTTATCATAAGCATCCCGATAAAGCTATAGGAAGCTATATTCGAAGACACAACATAACGATTTTCAGATTTTTACTTGTCCACTGTTAAAGAGGATCAACAAACATGAAACAGCCGTTTTCTACAAGATTAGCTTAGCTGTCACTATTTATGTCAAAACTCAAAGTTTAATCAGTATTATGAATCTCTGTGACTGTTGTTTTATCCACACCACATTATACATACAAATTCAAACATACTCGTAGTTCGAAGTAAACAAATATCGAGTGATATAACAGAATATCAAGAGAAAACTAACATTTGCGATTGTGGCGCACACAATAAAAGCAGTAACGCAGTTCGATTGGTGCAGGAGCGATTGCAGGTAGGCTCCTGTAGGAAGACCATCCACAGAATTAACTTAGGACATTTTTAAAAATAATTTTGGTTTCTACAAATTTTAATAGAATTGAAAGTTTCAGTAGAGCCTATTCCGATAAAAGTCATGAGTCAAGGACACTTAAAAAAATGTTTTCTGATAAGTTTCTCAACAAATACTTATAGTTGCTCTACTACCACATTAGGGTATACAAATATATCAGACCATGATAAAAAGTTACTGCAGTCTAACAGAGAGTCATCATTCATCATCGAGACTAAAACTATACAGGATGGGCCCTAATGAAACACAATCAGCACTTAGTCAGAAGTACCTGGAACATGAATAACTAAAAGCACCTAAAAGTGACGAATTTGGGTACAATTTATCTGGATTATGAATTAAATGCCTATTGTGACAAACCTGTGCACAATCAAAAGGATGAGATAAAATTGTTTCGTCGTTTTATAACAATATCCTGTCACTGAATTGGTCACCCTGGTCACCTATCTTTATGGCATCAGCGTATAAAGGAAGCCTGCAAGCAAGAGTAATGGGGCTCGATACGCACCACGTGCTGTGCTAATGTCTGTATGTGCATGCGTTTACGTACGGAGGCACGTCTAAATAAACACTGCTGCATCTTATGTTATTGTGATAGAAGTTATTTTGCAACAAAAAATTATAGGATGATGTGATGTCGTATGTACCTTCGATCGTGCAGACTTTGATAGTGAGGTGTATCAAGGAAACACGGGTTTAGCGTTAGACAGTATATTGACAACTGGGCGGTCGTGCCGCGATCGGGCGGCGCGTCGCCTGCGCATACATAGATATAAGTACATACGTAGGTATAGATCCACCGCTATAGACTATAGACATTACATATCTCTGCCCTTAATCAATACTATAGGTATTTCGTAATAAACCAGAAACCAGAAGCATTAACCAAGTAAACCAAAGTTTTGCTCAACCTTAATTAACTGTAAAACTTATATTAACTATGAAATTAACAGCCAGTATACAAAACTTCTAGATTATCTAATCTACTTATTTAAATACAATAAACGGAAAACTATAAACCATAAGTGTACGAGTAAGTAATTTTAATCAGCTATATAATAATATTCTATTAATAACTAGCTCCAGGAAGAACTCAACATAACTAGGGACACTTCTAATTACAATATAGTTGATACAATTTTTTGTGTAAATATTTTGTAAATAACACATAAAATATTTATTATAAGTAATTTTTTTAAAGTTAGTTTTTAAGTACTAGAAACATTCAAAATAATGATAATACAAGTAAGTGATGTTTTATTAATGATACATTAATCTTACTAATATTACAAATGCGAAAGCCTGTATGTGATGTCTAGATGCCAACATGCTTGCCACTCTTTCACGCAAAAACTAGTGAACGGATTTTGATGAAACTTTACATTATCACTGCCCACAACCCAGAATAACATATTATGACGACGGCTACAATTTATGACGATCCGTGACAAACCAAATTTCACGTGGGCGAAGCCGCGGGCAAAAGCTAGTACAATATAAAAATAAGACGATAGTAAGTACCTAAAACAAATCTTTGTAACGAGGTGGGTTATTTACTCTGCATTGTCTCATCGGGCGAGCCTGGGGCGGCTCAGGAAGGGGCGAGCGAGGGGGCGGCGGAGTGTCCTGTACATTTCCTTCTATGCAATCCTCAAACCGGTCCACCGACTCACTGTTCGCCGCTTCAGGCGACTTCTCCCTGCTCGAACTAGGCGACCCCTGGCTTTGTGAATTGCCAAAAGTATCCGCGCTTTGACCTAGAGGGCTGGAAGGACAGATTAGTGAACTGCGTTTCCGTTGCTTAAGTTGATCGATGTGTTTGTGTGACTCCCTACCTAACTCATCGATAACCCTATAATCTGTAATTCCTATTTTTTTTGTAACTTTCCCTGACACCCACTTATCGCGCCCGCTGTATTGACGCAGCCAAACCTCGTCCCCCGGGCTAAGGGCGCGCGACCCTGTAGCACCACTTTCCTGTTGTTGTTTTTGGGCCTTATGAACCTTAGTACTCCTATCTGGCCTTAGCGCATCGAGTTTAGTGCGTAACCTACGACCAAACATAAGTAAAGCGGGTGTTTCCCCTGTTGTGCAGTGTTCTGTGTTTCTATAATGCAATAAAAAAGTATTCAAAGACGCATTTATATCAGAGTTGTCCCTAATGGCTTTCTTAATAGTTTTCTTTACGGTTTTTACTGCATTCTCGGCGGCCCCGTTGGATGCAGGGTGATATGGTGCCGAAAATAGGTGTTCTACCCCGATAGACTGCAAAAACATTGAAAATTCGCTACTCGTAAATGGTGGGCCATTATCTGATACTATTTGTTTCGGTAAACCAAATCGTGAAAAAAGATCACTTAAAAACTTAATACTGTGACTAGCTGCCGTACTAGGTACCTGGGTGACCTCTAGCCATTTTGTTTTCGCGTCTACTAATACGAAATACATTTTTCCTAATATGGGGCCTAGAAAATCAACATGTACCCTGGACCACGGTTTGTCAGGCCACGGCCACGGGCAGGGCACGTGTCGCGGAGGCGAGTCGCCTTCCGCAGCGCACACCCGGCAGTTTCGGCACATCGCTTCGACGGCTTCGTCCATTCCGGGCCACCATACATAACTCCTAGCGAACGCCTTTGTTTTCACTATACCCATATGACTCTCGTGTAACTCTAATAAAACTTTTGATCTACATTCCTCTGGTACTACTACCCTGTGGCCCCACAAAACACAGCCTAGCTCTTCATATAACTCGTGCTTGCGGTTAAAAAAGGGCTGAAGGGCTTTAATTTCGTTTTCAAAAGGCCACTCACTACGAATGTAACTAAGTATTCGACTTAATAATGGATCACGACTAGTCTGCCTCTTTACATCATTATAGTCTAACAACATTGCATTATGGGCAAAATGTAAATAAGTTAGTTCAGGTGAGAGTTGTTGTTTAAAAGATGGGACCGCTGGTAAGCGAGATAATCCATCCGCCCCGTTTTGTTTTGATGACACATATTCAATATTATAAGTATAGGCGGATAACTTTATTGCCCATCTTTGTAACCTACTAGCTGCCATAGAAGGTATACCTTGTTTTGGTCCGAAAATAGCTACCAGAGGCTTGTGGTCCGTACGTAAAGTGAAAAACCTCCCATACAAATACTGATGTAATTTTTCCAAACAAAAAACAATCGCTAATGCTTCGCGTTCGATTTGTGAGTAATGTTTTTCTGCGGAAGTAAGTGCACGGGACACATAAACGACAGGCCGCTCGCACTCACCTGATTTCGCCATCGCGCCGTCTCGCTCACACTCCGACCTCTGACTCAGCACTCCACCTATACCATGGGCGCTTGCGTCGCAAGTTAAATATAAAGGTTTGTTTGGGTCGTAATGTGCTAAAACATCGGCGCTAATTAATATAGACTTAATTTTCCTAAAGGCCTCTTCGCATTCCTGACTCCAATGCCAAGATGTCCCTTTTTTTAATAAATTGTATAAAGGTGCAAGAATTGAACTTAAATCTTGTACGAATTTGGCATAAAAATTTATTGTTCCTAAAAATGCTCGCAATTCTTTTATATTAACTGGCCGGGGTATATTTAATATCCCCTCCACTTTTTCTGGGTCTACCTTTATGCCTTCAGCTGATATTATAAAACCTAAATATTTGACCTCGTTAGTAATAAAAGTGCACTTATTTTTTTTTAACTTCATTCCACTACTGTGTAGTCGTTGAAGTACTTTTTCTAATACTTGAAAATGACTAATAATATTGGGAGTACCGATTATTATATCATCAAGGAACACTTCTACATTTGGCATATCATTAAAAAGATTTGACATGATGCGTTGAAAAATACCTGGGCTCGAGGATAGACCAAAAACTAATCTTTTGTATTTAAATAGCCCTTTATGAGTGTTTATTACCGTTAAGTTTTCTGGGTCCTCCAGCTCCACCTGGTTGTAAGCCTGGGTTAAATCGATTTTTGTAAAAAATTTGGCACCGTTCAACTTAACTAATAAATCATTAATTCGCGGTAATGGAAATCGATCAATCTTAAGCACCGGATTTAACGTGACCTTATAGTCGGCACAGATACGCAGTCCACCGTCCGCCTTACGCACAGGGACCAGGGGAGTCGCCCAGTCCGCGCAGTCCACCGGCTCGATGACGCCGTCGCGCAGCATGGCGGCCAGCTCGGCCTCCACGCGCTCGCGCAGCGCGAACGGCACGGGCCGCGCGCGGCAGAACACCGGCGTCGCCCCCTCGCGCACCTGCAGCCGCGCCGCGCCTCCTCTGAACCGGCCCAGGCCCTCCGTGAACAGCTCCTTATATCTGTCGAATAAATTTGACAGTTCTTTTTTATGGTTCATGGAAATATTGCAATTAATTTTATTTTTTATAACATTATGCAATAGGGGTATTTGAATTTTTAATTCAGAAAGCCACTGTCTTCCTAATAATGAAGTGGTACCACCCTCTATTACAAATAATTCTAATTTCTTCGAGCTACCTTCATATTTTACTACTGGATAAATAACTCCCAAAGGCAATATTTTGCTACCATCATAAAATTTGAATATTAAATTAGATTTTTCTATAGGTATCCTGCCAAAATATGTATCATATGTTTGTTTACTAATACAAGAAACTAAAGACCCCGTATCAATCTCCATAGGTAATTGAACCCCATCTACTGACACAAGTAAGCTTACCGCCTTGTAACTGTTTAGACTGAGTTGATGTAACTCTTCTTCAACAGGCCAGTCCTCTTCTCCCGATTCAGCTTGCTCGTCGTCTCCGTACCGTGGCGCCTGGTCCAACCGGTCTGTACTGTTGTCCGCCGCATGCACGTGAGCCACCATGTTATTCCCGCTGGCCCCGGTGCCTCCTTGCCGTCGCTTCGGGCACACTCGCCGCAGGTGACCCTTCTGCTTGCACCCTCCGCACACGAAGCTGCTATACCGGCAACTGTCGCTCCAATGGTCTTGCGCCCCGCACGCATAGCATTTTGTTTTCGAGTTGTCTTGTCCACTGTGCCGCCCGCGTGTGCCGCCGGCCCCGCGCGCCTGCTGGCCGGCCCCGCGCCCCCGCCGCGCCGCCACCACGTGCACGGGCGCGGCCTCGCCCTCCGGCGCGCGCTCCACCGCCGCTGCATCCCGCTCCGCGGCTTCCATGGCACACGAAATTCGAACAGCATTTTTGTATGTTAAGGGGGTGCAGCGCCGACGAAAAATTACGATTTGCTAGCCGAGATAGCGGTGGCGCAACGAACTAACACGATCGCACACGAACTACTTCACAGTGTAGAGACAAAANTCGTATGGCCTCGCTTCGCAGTCCACAAACCAGTTGGTCCCGTAGGTTTTCCTCCAATACTGCCTTGAACTCACAATATTTCGATAATTTCTTAAGTTCCGAAATGTATTGTAAAATAGTTTCTCCCCCTGCTTGTCGTTTTTGACGAAAATGGTATCGTTCTGCCATAAAAGACGGTTTTGGGTGCAGGTGATCTGCCATCATCTTAACCACCACACCATATTCTTTAGCACTAGGTTTATCCGGGCTCGACAAATTGCTTAGAAGTTCGTAGGCTTCGTCCCCCATCGCCGCGATCAAAGTGGGTAGCCATAACTCTTCTTTTACGCCGTTAACTTTGAAGTACATTTCTGCTCGTTCCACGTACATAGTCCAATTTCCCGATCTCACATTGAACTCAGTCAATTTACCGATAGACATTTTAGCACGACACGATACGATTGCAGACCGCCACAATTTTTCTGCACGCGAAATAAATCCTCGTTAGCCAGTGAGGTGTATCAAGGAAACACGGGTTTAGCGTTAGACAGTATATTGACAACTGGGCGGTCGTGCCGCGATCGGGCGGCGCGTCGCCTGCGCATACATAGATATAAGTACATACGTAGGTATAGATCCACCGCTATAGACTATAGACATTACAAACATGACCGAAGAAACTCTGTGCAGATTCTGCCATAAAGAAGAAGAATGCATGTTCTCTGCTCATGCGGCCCGCTTATGAGCAAAAGAAGTATCTATCTCGGGCGACACATCATGCACCCGGATGAGATAGCAGATATCACGCTCCAAAGAATCTGGAAATTTATAGACTCAACGGGACTAAGCAGTGAACTCTAAACACAAGGGCCGCCACAATAGATCAAACCTGGTCGAGCTGGCGCAAATGAAGGCCCAAAAATAATAATAAATGCATAGTTCATGACGTAAACCATAGATGACTTTGTCTGCTTCGTCCATCACACTAGGTGCTAGCCTAGGAAGTTAGGAACTGATTCAGCTTAACGGATAAATGGTAACAAAGCACCTATCCAGTTAGGTATTGTTACAGCCGAACAATGAAACTTATGCACAAATAATATCGGTGCGTCCGTTCTCACAAATAAACGGTTGCTGTAAACTGCCCAAAATACCGTAAACAGTCAATGCCCGGCCGGACACATCTCATGCAGTTGTTAAACTTTGATAACATCACAAAATTCTCATATTACACACAGGATGTACAAGAAAACGAAGTTATTCTGGGGAACATGCTTCTTATGCGTCATAAAATTTGGCTTGGCAAAAAACATTGCCCCTGATAGCTAACACACGTCGCTTCTCTGCTTCTCACGTAGATACAAAATAGTAAATGTTTGTGTCTTTATCGAACTGAAAATCTTAACCAATGTCTATTGATATTCTATATTGGTAATCATTGTTATACAACAGGAGAACATCTAAATAAATAGTGACTTTCCCTAGAGAGCTCGATGTCTTTTTTTTTTTTATCCACAACGAGGAAGCTCTTGGCCTGTATCTCACCTGATGGTAAGTGATGATCAGGCCGAAGTTGGATGCGAGCTTCGCCCGGAATCCTCAATCACTGAGGAACTGGCTATCTTACCTCCAACTGCCGGAACACAACAATGCTGTTAACATTGTTGTTATGGCGACAGACTTAGATAAGATGGTGGTAGCTAGCCAGGCGGACTTAGAACAAGCCCTACCACCAACCAAACCGAACAGAAAAATCTGCCCCCACTGGGAATCGAACCCGGGACCTCTGCGTCTGAAGCAGGTGGTCTTACCACTAGACCACAGAGGCGGTTAAACGTGCGGTTCTACTGTGTAGTCTAGGTAATGGACAAAGTAATTTCAACGTTAAAGTTTTGATTTCCACTCCACTAATTTTATATGCATCTTTATCGAATCTTTAGTTCATAGTAACTTCTTGGTACACCCTTTACATACGGGCATAAATGTTCCTTGTCTAACTGTATTCTTTTATTTCAGAGAAAGGCATGAAAATGGCTCTCCAAATGAACTTTCCGTGTTTACTGTGCTGTATAATGGTTCTAAACGTCCTAACATGGACCAAAGCAGAACTCTTTACGGCCATATCAGAGGTAGAACCCTTGTTGGCGACTCACAAGAGGATAATAGACGATCTAGATGACTACATCGCCAAAGAAGAGGAACGACTGATTACTTTAAAGAAGTGAGTATGTTTTAAAACGCCTTGATTATTTCTTCACTACTACTCTACTGCACCCGAAGCACGAATAAATTTTGTTCTCGTTATGGGGATGGTAAAGTTTTTTTTGTATGAAAAACAAAATAGCGACGCGCTACGATAAGGAATACGATGTTTTGTGCTCTATAAATGAGCAGTGCCAGTAGTACAGACAAGATTTTATAAAGGATCAAAATACTTGACAAATGTTTATTTTTACGACATTCATAAATTAATGACAAATGTTACAATTAACGCTTTTAGCGACATTCATAGATTAGGCTTTATTAATCTAAGACGACATTTGACGATTAATAATTTGCTATACTATTTTTAGGCATTTAAATATTTACAAAAGGGAGCACGAAAAGGCGATGGATGACATTCCGAACTATTTGGGGAACCCCATCAACGCCTTCACGCTTATAAAAAGACTGACCACAGACCTAGACCTAATAGAACAGAGTATCAAAATTGGAACAGGTAATATTTACGATAATTTATTGTCTTTATTAGCACACTAATATTATGTACGGACGACAGCACATCAACCTAAACACAGTGACATCTTATCTCGTTGTAACACAGGCTATTTTGCAACAAAATTGTATAACTTGATGTGCTGTCGACTGTACAATAATTTAATGTTTTTATTAGCACACTAGTAGCTTTTTAGTGATAATAGCCTCCGGTGTAGAATTTCATCTGCTTTATTGGTTTATCTAATCATCTCGTATTTTTGGTGTCATTTATGTCAACATCTCAAAATTGAATTTTAAATATTATATTGTTTAGAATACTTCCCACTTGTTTAATGTTCCATTCGAATTATTAATTTATATGGCTAAAATTATTTATCAAATAACTCACAGTAGTTATTCTGTAATCCTATATTTTTATTTTATAGTTTTTAGCACTTTAATAAAATTATATTATCAACTAATGATACTTAACACAAATTAATACGTAATTTAGTAATTCTAACATACAGTATTGGTTGTTTCAAAAATCGATGTTGAATTGATAAACTCGTAATGTAGCGAGAGAGGAAGAGCATTATGTAATATTTAGTTGGGATGTGCAAGGCATATGATGCAACCAACTCCCCACGATCCTACCCCGTTTTGTCGATTTCAAATAATAACTCTCAAACTCATGAATTCGTGATTATCTATGCTTTATAATGACGTTCGTGACGTCCTTATAAGGCCACGCGGAAAACCGTGCAAGCGCAAGTCTACGTGATTAAGCATTCGCAAGGATTAGACTTCAGACTTCTAACAAAGTGGATTATTATGACTTCTGTCAATTTAATACAACGATATGAATTTGGAATGAAAACGGGTTATGGTTAATATTTTTGGCCATTTGTAAATGGATAGTAGTATCCTGACCGTTTAGTGGTGGTAACTTCTAAGTAATTGAAAAGTTACTTTTGTGCCCAATTGATTTTGAGCATTATGAATCCCATCGATAACGTTGTGCCCTGGAGATTAAAGATATCCCCGTGAAACTACTCAGTTGCCCAGTAGGCCTAGAATGCGCGCCGCGATAAGCGGTTATTACGCCATTTTATTGATTTCGCCCATACTTTTTGACGTCTATACAATATATCACGGCGCGCATCCTAGCCCTGCTGGCCATATCAGTTTGGCAATATTTTTTTCTTGGCTTTCGCAGTTTGCGTTATAAATCTTCATTGATGGAAATCATGTTTTGCTATTTGTGTGTACTTACCCACATCTACCTCGAAACAATACTAACTTCCACCACCGCTTATCACAGAATACATCAAAAACGTCACGATGAACCATGACGACGTGAAGTACCCAGCCTTGGAAGACCTGACGGGCGCGGCGCAGGCGCTCACCAGGCTGCAAGAGACCTATCACCTTGATGTCCATGAGCTGTCCGAGGGTATGCTGAACGGAGTCATTTACAGGTACCTACATCCATGCCATGAATCCAAATTTAATGTTATATGCGGAATTATATGTATGCCTGTTACGTTTTCAACTCTAAAGTGCTGCTGTTGAACTGATTCTAAATGTATGTATTGTCGATGATACTGAATAAACATTTTTCTTTCTTTCTTGATTTTGATGAATTCTGGTAAAGAAAGAGATAGTTATAAGAACATAGCTACTTATGTCGTAAAAATAAATCTGACATAATGAGAGAAGAACTTTCAAGGTCTTGAATGATAGATTGAAAACCACGCAGAGCTAATGCTTGTACGCTGTGAAAACCTAACATATCAAAAATGGTTTGCAATTTAATGGGAGAATAAAGTAGCTAATATAAAATGCATAGAGATAATTTGAAATTTAAATTTTGCGACAAAATTAAGTGTCATTCCAAAATATGGAATTCCACATGACTAACAAGACCAAACATTTTGACCTTTTATACACAAAAAAGCCTTATTTGCATACTAAACATTACTCAACAGTGTTTGAGTCAAAGAAGTTATTTTGTTAGCTAAATACAACTCAGTTACTTACCGAAGTTGACGTCGAAACTCGTTTCTGCGTGCGACCGCCCACGTCTTCATAAATATACTTTAAGTTGCTTAACTGTATTATCTTTATGTGTTCATTTCTATGATTAAAATACCTTTTTAAATGTCCCAAGGACTAACCAATGATTTTAAGATGTCATTGACACTATTAATTGAAACATTAGTATATTTTGGAATGTTTAGATACTCTATTTTATTCTGTCTTGAACAATGTTGTCCGATAAAAACACGTCCGTTTAAATCAATTTCATTCATCAGCATACAAATGTTATTAATGAGATCGGTTACGTTTGGACGTCTTCTGAACCCATTTTTATGATTTTACTAGCTTTTAACCGCGGCTTCACCCGCGTGAAATTTAGTTTGTCACAGATGGTTATAAATTATAGCCTATATGTTATTCTGGGTTATAACCAATAATACTAAAGTTTCATCAAAATTCATGCAGTAGTTTTTGCGTGAAAGAGTAACAAACATCCAGACATCTATACAAATTTTCGCGTTTATAATATTAGTAGGATGTATTGAGATAAAAAAAAGGTTCAAGAAAAGGATAATGCCAAAATCCAACGTAATAAATTAAATGTCGGGTATGTACTTTCTGTGACCGATCAAAACCCACGCGCCTTAAAGCTGCGGACAAAAGCTTGTTATTTCAATATCGCAAATTTTATTATACTAACGGTTTGTATTTAGGTACGTATATGATTCGAATCTCAATGAAAGTCAGTTCATTATCCCATTAACACATATTTTATTGTTATCTAATGTACCTAAACTTCTTATAGTCCACTTATCTTATTTTTATAGTTAACTTATCTTATTTTTAGACTCGCTAATAGTTTAATAAGCGCACCTTATCATACAAAGTTACAAACCAGACTTCCTTTGATGAAGTAATACTGACGCTTTAAACTATCAACGATTATATTCATATTAGGTCAACATTTCGGACTAACTTTTAAAATCCAGTACCCAGATCGGACTTAAGTGGCTTTATTTAACTTTGCTGCAAGATTATTCTATGATTCATTGATTCAAGTTTGATCGAACCAATGTCTTCAAAGATTTTTGACAAGAATCTAAAATTATTGACGAGACGAGACCCGCTCTCATCATCATCGTTTCTCTATTAATGCATAATACAGAGTCATATGCATTCCGTCCGTTTCAATATTTATAGAATGACAATTTTAGTTTCCTTATTTTGCGGTTTATATGCGGTGCCTTTAAACTTAATATGTGGGAGGAGGATATAATTGCTTATTGTTTAAAGACATTTATTCTCATAAAGACAAATTATGCCACTTGCATGAGCACAGTCTCAAACACCTAGGTATTCGTGACTATGTGCCTCGCTAGCCGCCTCTTGAATACATTGAACATGTCAATATTTTTAATGTTTATGAGGTTGTGGTTATTTTCATTTTAGCACTCCAATGACGGCGGGCGATTGCTACGAGTTGGGGCGAGCCCTTTACAATGAGAAAGACTTCAAAAATGCTTTGGCGTGGATGATGGAGACGCTGCGAAAATACAAAGCGGAGGAGGAGAACTATTACTTCAGCGAAATCGATGTACTCGAGTACATTAGCTTCTCGCATTATTTGTTAGGTTAGTATCGATATACGTAATTGCATGCTGTATACCCCACTAACGCGATTGAGATTTGAACTAAATGCGAACTGGACCAATTGAGAATTGGAGGACAGTTGGACATTTTGCTAATTGAACATTGGGACACAATGCACCCAATCGAATTTGTCAGATTTCTATGGCGGCTCCCAAAGTTTGTCACGGTTGGGTTAGGACCTTAGTGGTTACAAATTACTATGTATAAGGTTTTCAATCTGGAACGTATTAAATCTGCGGTTGCGTCTTGAAGCTTGCTTTTACTGGGAGATCGAGTTTCACTGAGAAATAGAAACTTTGATAAGTAAAGTTTCTACAATTGATTAATATTATTGTACATTGACACAGACTGTAGACTTTTAGTCAGCCGATAGTTGGGCCTGATTCTAATTTCATATTTGTCCATATTGATTAACAGCCTAATCCTACTATCGGCCGATAAATAGTCTGTAGTCTTCGGCTAGGCTTAGGGGCCATTAATAAAAGTAAAAACTTTTTTGTAGGCGACGTCAGAGTCGCCTTAGAGTGGACCAAGAAGCTTCTGGAGCTGGACCCGAAACATCCACGAGCTCCTGGGAACATCCCGCACTACCAAAAGACGATCGCCGAGCAAGAGGCGAAAAAGTTGCTGCGACTACGTGGGGTAAGTGATTTAATTGAAATATTCGCATTTAGGGTGTTTTTAATATCGTGTGTATTTCTTTATCGCGCATGCGTGACACCCGTTAAGTGACCATTTCATGCAAGTATTTGTGGTACCGCGTGCGCATTCCACGCATTACAATAAATACTTGTATGAAAAGGACTCATGCGGGGAATCCCGCGTCCTTGATGAAATCCGCACGATATTAAAAACACCTTTAAGACATTAGTGCTATGAAAATTTCCATTTAGCTATCCATGGATGAACAGTGTGGTTTGCATAGTTGGAAAAGTTTATAAGATTTAAAAAAAAAGATATTGCTACTAATCTGAGGCGCCAAAATGTCCTTGTGACCCTTATAATAAAAGGTTGAGTACCACTAATGATGTTTGAGCTATGTAATTTACAGAAGCATTTATTATTGCTGAGAATCACGAAACGAAACAATGAAACGAGTGATGAGAAAATATTTTAATTCTGTTATAATGTCACAATGCCAAACCTCAAGTCGAATTAACATTTTCAATGGCGCGTTGTGCAACGTGATTATTAGCTGGAATCGCATTTACCCAGCTTTGTCTCTGATATCTTGGAAAATGTTAAATATCACGAAATGGTTATTGTCTTAGTCTAAATGTAAAATATTTATCCACAAAAAATATCGGAGAAATATGTCATAGAGGATAAGAAACGTGACATGTTGCGTGTCGTGTGTATCGTACGACGTCACGCGACTTCGATTTTCAATTGTTTTTTATGGATACAAGTTCCCGTAGACAAAGTAACATGTGACAAATAAAATTTCGAAATCGCTACGGCCTTTTTTTTGTAAGTAATCACTTGGTTCATGAAGCGATTTCGGAACTTATAGAATCTACTGTCACCAATGTTAGTTTGTCCTAGTGATTAAAATATTTCTTCCAAATAGGTCTACAGAAAATGATTATTCTTTGCAGGACTTAGGAGATGATTCAGAAACCCAGAAGGAAACGATGTCAGAAGAATTATCAGAATACCACAAAGAGAGAACGAGTTACGAAATCCTTTGCCGCGGGGAAATGGATATTCCTACAGAAATAGCCAAAAGGTTGGTGTTACGGTCGACAACACAGTGACGTCGTATCTCATTGTAATACAGTCTATTTTGCAACCTAAATATCTAGTCTGATAGGCTGTCGCCTGTACATAATAACGTGTTTTCTTATCTTAATTCATAGACGTTTCACAAAGAAATGTTATATCAGAAACATTATTTTTAAAAGATACAAATTTCTGCAATAAATAACTAAGCACTAAAACTTGCTACCATTTTTCTTCAACTCTTTTGCTTAATGAATAAATTAGTAACCGATTACTTTGAAACATGTCTCGGCGGCGAGTGTAGCGTGTAATTTGTCTTCGTGACAAGCAAATTGGAAGGATATTGGATATTATAATTAATTCGCTCTCACATAAATCAGCCTATAACCAATAAATGTATTTGTATTGATTAAGCTTTGCAAAAGAATGTTTAACACATAAAAAGCTATATGATTAAAGCCATAAAATGTTTGTATGAGACCCATTCAGCTAGGTAGGCGGCAGTCTATTGACTTCAAACAACAAAACATTTAGACAGCCATGGGCGTAGCGTACCCATGGATGCTTCTGCCATAGGGAATAGGGGGGTGGGTCATATCCAGCTTCTGGCCTAGATTTTTAGGTTAGATCGCTTGATCCTTGAAAGCGATTTCCAGCAAATTTTTAATTTTTTTTAAATTCTGTTGATTTATAATAAAGTGTTTTCTTGAAAATGTCAAATGTCAATGTTGGCAAATGTCATTATGGTAATGTCATGAATGATATTTATAAATAAATAAAACATTATAGGTTACATTGCCGCTACCTCACGGAGAACCACCCCTTCCTGCGTCTAGCGCCTATCAAGACAGAATACATGTATTTCAACCCCGACGTAGTTATATTTCATGACGTCATGAGCGATGACGAAATACACTTCATACAAGAGGCTGCTAAACCAAGGGTAAGTAAGTCAATAAATAGTAAACAATATGAATTACCTAATACTCAACGCCTGAGGTGCGAATGTTATACAAAATCTATGAACGAAGAGAGTTTTTACACCTCGTAAAAAGTATGTCAAGTGATTGGTGTGTCAATATGCTTGTAGGCCTCTAAATAAGCATGAAATAGGTACTTAAGCATGTTTTTTTTATCTCTTAAACTTGTTTAGCCTTGACATTATCAAATCACAACCCATCCAATGCTTTTCTTTTTCTAAAATACCTCAGTTAAAGATGTTTGAAATCTCGAGACGTCAGGCACGCAAAAAGGATGCGTTATTCGTCCTCAAAAAACGTTGCGTTGGCGCCGCGCGGATGATGAGCCGACGATACTCGAATGTTTTGTTATTGCGTGACAGACGACAATGCTCGAATGACGCTAGTGTGGGGTTTATTTTTTCAATTACTAGTCCGATTTCAATAATTTTACCACAGATCGTACCTATATGCCTTTTTTATGAAATAATTTTTAGTTTATAATCATGTCTATTGCCTATTACAGTTCAAGCGAGCCGTGGTCCACGATCCGAAAACCGGCGAGCTAGTCCCCGCTAACTACCGCATCAGCAAGTCGGCGTGGCTTCGCGACGAGGAGTCGGCGGTTATTGAACGTGTGTCGCAGCGCGTGGCCGACATGACCGGCCTTAGCATGGACACGGCTGAGGACCTGCAGGTGGTCAACTACGGCATCGGAGGTCATTATGAGCCACACTACGACTTTGCTAGAGTAAGTACCGCTACAGCAAGTCGACTAGACTATAAGGTTAGGAGCTGCGCGTTTCTTGCATAATGGACCTCAGTATGGACACGGCCGAGGACCTGCAGGTGGTCAACTACGGCATCGGAGGTCATTATGAGCCACACTACGACTTCGCTAGAGTAAGTACCGCTACAGCAAGTCGACTAGACTATAAGGTTAGAAGCTGCGCGTTTCTTGTATAATGGACCTCAGTATGGACACGGCCGAGAACCTGCAGGTGGTCAACTACGGCATCGGAGGTCATTATGAGCCGCACTATGACTTCGCTCTAGCGACTTATTCTAGTAAGTACCGCTACAGCAAGTCGACTAGACTACGAGTTTAGGAGTAGCGCATCTGGTATGACCGGCCTTAGCATGGAAGCAGTCCTCAGAAATTGCAGGTGGTCAACTACGGCATCGGGGGGCATTATGAACCGCACTACGACTTTTCTAAAGTGAGTTCTATTTGGTTTTCATAAATGCCTTTTTCCTGTGATGCGGATTTCGGCACACGTGCGGATTTCGTCCGCATGCGCACATAATTTGGCACTAAGTGTATTTATTCCATTGTTTACGACTTTATCTATTTTCTAGTACCCGTCGTAGTACAAACTTTGCTTAGTTTGGGACTAGAAACGTAGTGTAAAATGTCTAAGGATATTTATTGTTATTGTTGTCGCATAACGTAATAAAGAATTATGTAATAAATGGGTTTTCGAAATGGGAGACGTATTCAAATTCAAATTCAAAACGTAGTGTCAAGAAGGTACAGTGGCTTAATGAAAAAACCGAAGATCAAGCATTGCGGCGCGCTTTGTGATAGGTTTACATCTAGCAGTGGACTGTCATAGACTGAAATAATGAAAATGATATTTAAAATGTTTGAAAAATGCGATGTGTCAAAGTTATTTTAAACAGTATAATTGCATTAATTTTACAGAAACAAGAAAACGCCTTCAAGAAATTCAGCGGCAACAGAATCGCGACAGTGTTGTTTTACGTAAGTTTATTTCAGAGCAATTCATTTATCGTAGCTTTTCATTTTGATTTGCTAACTAGTGCGATTTTGCTTTAAAATCATGTAAGTGTAACATGTTGTCGACTTTACATGTATTATTTATAAATGAAACCACTGTGCATACGCCCATATTATTCACAAACATTACTATGAGGTCTCACAGTGCGCGTGGGCGTACAGGGTGACACACGAACCAATCACAAAGCTCTATTCAACGCTGTGCGTTCGATTTGCTGCTTCATTTAAGCGAGCATCGTTTGTGAATACGGGCGTTAGTTTCGTAGCTTAGCTTTTATCTCGCCCACTACTTAGCTGAATTTGCTTATGCAGACTAAAGTCCAGTCCGTGAGCACGTAGAATTTTGTCCAATGACCCCTAGCTACCCATCCTTATCGCTCGCGCGTAATAATATTTCTGTCGCGACTGTGCGACTGGCACCCGCAGTGAGTGTGCGAGCGCGATAGCAACAGAATTACGCGCGAGCGATAAAAATGGGTAGCTTGGGGTCATTGGACAAAATTCTACGTGCTCACGAACCAGACTTTAGTCTCAAGCAGATTTCAACTTTGGCCTTTTAAAACTCTGCAACTTGTCAACAGATGTCAGACGTGGCGCAAGGCGGTGCGACGGTGTTCACTAAGCTGGGGCTTAGTTTGTTCCCCGAGAAAGGCGCGGCGGCGTTCTGGCTAAACCTACACCCGTCCGGCGAGGGAGACCTGGCCACGCGACACGCCGCCTGCCCGGTGCTGCGAGGTTCCAAGTGGGGTGAGTTAATACTATTACTGTTTTGCTACTGAAAATGGTTCTAGCTAGACCAAAATCTAAACTAAGGTTGAGTTGCACCACCTATTTTTGACCGTAACTGTAACCGGTGTTTTTGTATGGAATTTGACAGATTTTTGACGTTTGTCAAAGTTAAAGTAAGATGGTGCAACCCAGCCTAAAAGTTCGGCCAAACCAACGCGATTAGCCGGCGAGCAGCCATGGCGCCATCGCTGCACGTCGGCTGATTGCGTGTGATCGCGTTGGTTTGACTGAACCTTAGGTGTAGCTTAAACTTAACCTTCACTGGTTGGGTTTTTATTTGGCAGTCAAGCTGTATATCCTGACTACATAAGAGTTGCAGCGGTGGGAATTAAAGATGGGCATAGTCCCTTTTAAGTGTAGCTTAGTTCTAATAATCATTCATATTTCATTTTATGTGACCACTATTGTATGGATTTGTTGCTTAACTCTTAATCTACAACTATTTTGTGCCGTCCGAATTGTATGTTTTGACCTTATGCAAGCAGTTTTGATAGTTTAACGCGCGTTAGTAGCGTTTGCAACACTACAGAAGCGATGCCAACGCGCTACTAACACGCTACAGCAGCGCGACTGTATCGATGCAAACGCGCGACCGTGTCGGACGACATCAGAGAGAGAACGGAGAGAGGGTAACTGAATCGCGTTTATGTGAGCGCTCCATCTTCCCCGGCACCGCTCGGCCCTCGCCAGTTTCGTGCCCGCAGACTAACATGTCAAATACTTAACATTTTCAGTGTCAAACAAATGGCTTCACCAAGGCGGGCAGGAGTTGTTGAAGCCTTGCAACTTGGAGTACCAAGACGAGAGTATGACCCGCAAGATCCCCAAACCTGTTCCCAAGACCTCCAGATAGAGGGCTCCACCACCAAACATAGTGAAATTTGAAGCGCTAAGGTAAATGTGTTCAACTTTTGTCGATGCGAAGACGAATCGCGAAGTTTTTTGTCTTTATATCGTCACCACAACTCTAGTTGTAAGAAAGACAAAGACTGTGAGGCAATCGTTCATTCATCATCAGTCACAAATGTCACTGTCAATGTGAAATATTTTTAATCTTTATCTAGTGTCACAAAAAAACACAACCATACCAACTTGCCATTATAAAATATACGTACAAGTATTGAATACTTTTTTTGAGTAATTTAATGTGTATTGTGTGTAATAATAAGTTTATTTTCATTTTAATTAGAGGCTGGTATGATGCTAATCGTGAAAAGCTTTGACAATTAATTACAGCTATATAAAATAATTTTATTTATTTAATATCTTAATTAAGTTTATTTAAGCTGTTATTTAATTGTTTTAGATATTTTACTACAAATGAATGCATTTATAATTTTAATAATATGTTGTGTCACATCTATGATCTGAAGCTTTTTAGAGTCTATTAAATAAAATATAATTGAGAATACAAAGATAAAGCCATATTGTATTGTGATATTACATTACATTATAATGTATCCTGATTTTATGATTTTTGTACAAACATTTTAATATTTTGTAAAATATGTAGTTACTCTATGTTACTTTTACAAATGCAACATTGATTAAAGTAATATAAAAACGCCCTACCATTTTTTATCATTTAATTATTTATTTATACAGATTGTTGACTTCAATCCTCGCCATATTTAAGGAGTTGATTATGTAGCTTATTCTGATCACGAATAAGTAAAAAAAATGACTTAAAAAAATTAACTTAGTCAAAGAAAAATACCTATTTACACTACCTACTTTACGTGGCTTTGTTTAGTAGGCTATCCGACATGATAAGCGAGCGATCCGGGAAGCTCGATGGTGCCGCAGTGTAAATGTATTGCAGTATTGCGAGCCACAGTACAGTTGATGTCGCACGGAAAATATTCGCTAAAAATTCCACTTTCGTTTGTTTTTTTTTTGTGGATAATGCGTTTATATAGATCATCTAAATAAATATGGCGAGGATTGAAATCAACACCCTGTATGTAGGAGCCTACATTAAAATAATTATCTTTTATTTTTACAAATTAACAGAAATAAAACCTTCCCAAAACTGTAAATACTACTAAATATTGTATAGTCAAGATGCAAAAAAAACCTGAGAACTATTTTACTGTACAGTTATTATTTAAAAAAAAAAATTTTTTTTCTTTACAATGCTTGCGCACATGTAATGTTTAATGATCATAAATATTAATTAATCATTTTCTTTAATAACATAGTTTGCTCAAGACAAATGATTAGTGATTTTACAATAGCGCTTTGTTTCTCTGGCAGCTGTACAATTGAACAATGGATAAAAAACAATAATGGTAAAGTTTCGTAATGTTGAAAATATTATTTCACTGAATGGGATTAAAATATAGACCAAAACTAAACAGCCGGTGAAGTTATTTTTGAAATCCATCAAGAAATGGCTGATAAATAAATTATTTAAATTATCTACCTACATATTTTCGCGTGGAACTCAAACATAGGCGGTGCCGTGACGTCACACCACCTGGTCAAGTTTCATTCAAATATGCAGGTACTTAGCAGGCGTCCTAATAACATGCAGATTTGCGCACGTAATAAATAGCACAAATTAATTAGCCCCGTGGCTATGTGAATGTGCCTTTACGTTGCCGTCTTCTAGTTGTTTCGTGTGCAAGGTGATTAGTTATCACCTTGCCACGGCCACAACCTTGCGGTTAAACTATATGATGGATGTACGACTGTACGTATATTTGCTGCTGCTATGTAGCTTCCAGGTAGTTCTTGACTTAGCCTATATTTAGCTTCTCTTGTTTGTTTTGGAGAATTTCTCCCTTTGTTGTACGTAAGTAAATCTGCAGCCGTCAGAAGTTCTCTTCTGCAATTTAGGGTTCCATACTTGGGTAAAAATTATTAAGTAGCCAAGTATTCAACTTAATTTAAAGTAATTAAATTGCATCGTAACTTTTTAACTTTATTTTAAGTCCATGTCCAAACGTCAAGCTCTTGTTTACTATGAAACTGCTTGACAAACGTCAAGTGACAAGCCCCGCCCACCAACTTACTCCAAAAACTAAGTTTAAATTTAGTTACCTACTTAATACGTGGAAATCAGCCTGTAATATCAATGTCTTAAACCTTAAAAATCTCACATGCTTTGCCAGCAAGAGACTAGTACACTCTTCTAAATCCTGATATCGATTAAAGTGGGTATGTAACCCACGCTAATACGTGAACTGCTATGAGTAGGTACACTCTTTGTTCAATTACAAGTATTATAACTCAATGACGTTTTAAAGACATTAATGTGACCGTTTTTCAAAGTCTCACCAAGCAGATTGTTCAACAGATACCTAGTTACCTACAAGTATTACTAAATGAAAATGAGTCTTATATTTTAATTGTTAAAGAAGAATATCGTTCAATCCAATACATGTGATGGCAATTAATTAATACTTAATTACATAAAGAAGGTGTTCTTTTTTATTGTAAGAATGTAATGAAAAAGTATCAGGAGGACTCTAGCACTTGTCCAAATAATCGTTTGTTATAAATGATGTATGTAAGTAATTGTTTAAAATATTTGTGACTTGGAGTTCGTAACGGCACACCATATTGGACTCCTGACAAGATTCTATTCTCGTCTGGTAAGTACTGTAAAAATCCTTGGATGAATTTAACATGGGACTCGAAACGCTAGAGAGCTTGTATGAAATTCTATCAACTGAAATAGTGAGTGACAAGAGGTAACCTATCATGTTATAGGTAATACTAATATTCCTTAGATAAAATGATGACGGTTACCATATGGTCGATTTAATGAACGAGGAAATTAATTCTAGTCTCTTATATTTTGCAAACAATAAAATTAGAAGATGGAAAATATTTTAATTTAATTAAAAATAGATGATGAAAACTAAGGTATGAATTTTGTTGTAACAGCATTAATGCTATTTAATAGTCGTTGTTTTTAATTACCACGGTGCTGTTTCGTTTGTTGACTTTTCGTAATGGAAATACTTAATCTTTAGCCAAGACTCGTGTCCCGTGGTTAATCGTAAGATTAGTCGTAGTTGTGTTAGTTTTATAAGTGCTTGAATAAAGTCTTAAATCGAAATAATTCATGTTATGTCTTCTATAGAGAATGGTAGCCGCAAAAATGGTTTTCGGAAGGCTAAACGTATGTCCAGTTTTCCTTTTGGTTTTGAACTTCTGCTGGACACGTGCAGAAGTGTTCACTGCAATATCCGATGTCGAACCATTGTTACAAACCCACAAAAGAATAATGGATGATGTCAACCACTACATCGCCTCGGAAGAACAACGGCTTATAGCTCTAAAGAAGTGAGTAGTAGACGACAAATAACCTAAAAAACCTTATGCAAGAATATTAGTGGACCATAATAATACCTATACAATTTAAGTATTATACATATTATTATTTGAAAATTCTTTTATTGATGTCACATCTGTTTACCACTGTCATCTGTTTACCACGAAAAAATGTCTTCATCTAATTCCTATGAAAAATGAAAACAAATACAAGATTAATTGACTAATTTAAATGTGTAACGAATATTTTTATTTGTACCTAGTTTAATTAGTACTTTATCTTTTTAGGAGCTTAAATATGTACCAAGAAGAACATAAAAAAGCCATGGAAGATATTCCTAACTACTTAGGAAACCCCATCAACGCCTTTACTCTTATAAAAAGGTTGACAGTTGACCTGGATCTCATAAGACAGAATATAATAAATGGAACAGGTAAGAAATACCTTGTTTTTACTAGACAAAAAAAATCCTCTGCACATAATACTAAATGGGACTCCAGCCCTACTGGCATCGGGTGACACGATATAATTCTATTGTGGCATATCTATTTTAGATGACATGCCACGACAATATTTGTGGCGTTCATGCTGGCTCGAGCTCCACTGGCGACTTCGTTCGATATTGTAAGACACGTGGCAACATAATTTGTATGAAACTGTAACGTTTGCGCACTTCACATTACACGTGTCGCCGGGAATTTGACATCTAGAGGCTATGAGGAGGCCTATCATCATCATTTCAGCCACAGGACGTCCACTGCTGAACATAGGTCTCCTCCAATGACTTCCACATCGCACGGTTGGCAGCGGCCTGCATTAAGCGCCTCACAGCTACCTTTATCAGATCGTCAGTCCACCTTGTGGCCTATAATTATGTATACTTATTAAAAAAATTTCGACAGAAAATATGAGAAACATCACGACAAACCACGAGGATGTGAAATATCCCGCTTACGAAGACCTGACGGGGGCTGCTCAAGCATTGACAAGACTCCAGGAGACTTATAAGCTAGACGTCAGTGAGCTGTCGAAGGGTGTGCTGAATGGTGTTATTTACAGGTAGGAAGTAGCATAATTCTCATCATCATCATTTCAGCCACAGGAGTCAGGACGTCCAATGCTGAACATAGGCCCAATGAATCTCCCCTACGATCCAGGTGGACCGGTTGGAAGCGGCCCGCATCCAGCTTCCTGCTTCCTTTATGAGGTCGTTTGTCCACCTTATAGGTGGTCCTCCACTCCAGAACCTTCAACACGTCTGTATAGACATAATTTTTGAGTCATTTTATTTTTGGCAACAATTTTACGCGACAAAGTTTATAATGTATATTAATTTAGCTTTGCCTTTCTGCAACGTTTAAAAGGTCATCTCTATTTATTTTAAAGTGCTTTACTTTATCCGTAAAAACGGAGCTCCACAAAAAAGTACTTTCATTCCAACTAAAGTTTGGCAGCCAAGCTTACACTAACACTAGTTGAAATACATGTTTACATTATGTCGAACGTATTAGTCGACCTCGGTAACAAGATCCCATTGTATAAACACAATAGAATGTTTATAGTGAGTCATAAACAGGGGCTTACAGGGGTTTAAACCTCGCAAAGTAGGTTTATATTTGAAGGTTACTAATCGTTCTATGATATTTAGGGCAAAAACTTAAGTGTGTGATCGCGTTGGTTTGGCTGAACCTTTAAATGCATTGATCGCCATCGCTGCACGCCGGCTGATCGCGTTGGTTTGGCTGAACCTTTAAACCTTTACACGCACATGTTACAACGTTATTATATTACATATTTAACAACTATGTATGAAATGCATCTGCAAGTAAAGATGGGTAAGATTATTAATTTATTATTTGTTAATTACCTGCATTGTTAATCAGAATAGAGACTTTATGTATCTACCTAAAGTGTTTTGCTATGTTCAGAACTAAAGTAGGTAGTATTAATTTAAGACTATAGGTTCAGCTCAATCAACGTTTGCAGCCGGCGTGCACGATGGATGGTAAGGGTGGATTCGACCAAACAAGAGTAAATATTAATCTCAGAATAAATCGTCAGTTTTGACATATTTCCCATACTGAAACTTTTAATGTGCCAGTTATACCAGGAGTTATTCTCGGATAAAAGTTTGGTCGAATCGGGCCTTAAACGCATTGATCGCCATCGCACACGCAGGCTGATCGCGTTGGTTTGGCCGAACCTTAAAGTTAGACTTATGTAGGTAATCGGAGATTCGACATGCTCAATGTGAAGTAATTAGTCGATTTGGCATGCTGCAGAAAAACAATCAAGACAATTTGGTATGCCCCGTCATACAAATCACATTGTGGAATGGTATCTCAATGGATGAATGAAGCTTTCTCAATAGGACATAAAGTATGGAAAGAAGGGATTGCAGGATATTAAAACATTACAAATTAGTCTGACACCTAATAATATGTAGTCTAAGTTATAACCTTTGCCTTTGAACAAATAATCTATGCTACTTATACAGGTTGTTGATTTCAATACTCGCCATATTTAGGGAGTTGATTAAATAAATAACATATCCTCAAATTACTTAAGTATTATGTAACCTGAATTAATATCACAAATATTTCCTCCACTATTTCTAGTTCTTACAAAGATTCTGTCTTATGGTTGACCATTACTACAAACAAAAATTGTATTATTAAAAACAAACGAACGTTCACTAAAAACTAAAAAGGTTTGTCCTTTTCACACAGATTAAAGCCTTCTCAATTTCTCATATTGAATATTTTCCCTACACATTTAACAGCTGACTATCGAAGTATACAGGGTGGAAACGATAAGTGATCTCACTCTATTATTTCTAAACATACATTTAGTATGGGAGCTAGAAACATTGAATTTTCGGATAGTTCCAGTTTTATCTGTAACCTATTATTAACACCGTTTTAAAGAGTTCGTGAAGCACTTTCAGGATCAGTAACCAGTTTTATTATATCTTGTATAGTTTAGAAATAATCGAATGAGATCACTTATCGTCTCCACCCTGTGTATGAATAGGCTTTTTCGTGTGATTTGCCCCGCTTTAGCTGTTAATTAAAATGACTTATTTGGTAAATACATAAGTACACGTTCATTTTACAGTACCCCAATGACTGCAGCCGACTGCTACGAGCTCGCTATGGTGCTGTACAAGGCCCAAGACTACAAAGACGCCCTGCCATGGTTTAACGAGGCCCTCAAGAAGTATAAAGAGGAGAACGAACACTACCAATTTACCGAATCTGACATTCTGGAGTTCATTGGCGCTACACATTTTTACACGGGTAAGTTTTTTAACGCCTGTTTCTGATACGCTTTCTCTGTCACCACGTAATTTTTAAGGCTGAGTTGCACCATCTTATTTTAACCGTAACAATAACAATAATTGGTGTTATTTTTTATGGAGTTTGACAGATATTTGACGTTTATCAAAGTTAATGCACAGAATAATAATAAGTACTACGTACAGAAGTTTTACTTCGCGAAGGTATTTAAAAAAATGTATGCTCAATGTCATTAACAATATGGTGTAATTTAGCCTGTCTCAAGAGTCAAGCACCATTTTGTTGACAAACGTCAGTGATCGGCACTGCGCCGAAGCTATAGGGCTGACTTCGGTAAAATGATGTGGCGTGAGGTGCCAAACTGCGGAAAATGGCGGAGGAAATACTTTAGCATGAATTATCATGAATAATATTAACTACTTATTTACCTCTCAATGTCTTGAGGCAACTTAAAAAAGTACATTCTGTGTTTTTATTATTATTTAGGCAGTTAATTGTGCACAGTATTTAGTACACCATTTTCTTTATTTTCTTCCATCATACACAAGAATACGCGTGCGTGAGTCAATGTTCGCTCGTATGTGAGGCCTTGTCGAATAGTACTAGGGCACTATTTAAGTTGTGAGCCTCGACAACATAACGTGTTGTTAGACGACATCTGATACTTTTAATGAAAAGTTTGACATTTTTGACAACAACCTTATTCAAAACTTTTTATCATTTGAGCACGTTTTGTANTTGCGAAACGTTGTTTGCGATGTGATAATTTGGGAAACGTTTTTTGGCCAAACATGAGTAATCCAATCCATGGCACTCATGTCTTGATAATATTATAGCAAGTAAAGCCTTAAACCAATGTTTTCAAAGAATCATTTTGAATAAGAATGCAATTTACGAGTTCATTTTAAGTGTTTATTATTTAATAAAAAAAATTTATACTTTCAATATTGTTTGGCTGGCATACATTTAGTATGGAGGCTGGAAACATTTAATTTTTTTATAGATCCAGTTAATTCTGTAACCTATTATTGGTACCGTTGGATAAAGCTAGTGAAGCACTTTCAGGATCAGTAACCAGCTTTTCGATATCTTGTATAGTTTAGAAATAATCGAATGAGATCACTTATCGTTTCCACCCTGTATAATATCAGTGTGAATTGTGACAATGGTGAAACCCTATGTCCAGCTATGTATTGCTTTGGGATAATGATGACAACAGTCATGATGAATTCAGTCGCAGACATTTGGATAAACTAGAAAAATTACCTACCTTCTTCTCTATTTTACATTATTAAAATAAACGTTTGGATTTCCACAAGTTGAACAATATTTATATCAAACTCGACTTATGAGTTATTGTTATAATATTTAAATGTTTACAATTATTTCTGATTAAGAGAGAATGTCATTTCAGCAACCCATTTCAGCATTACCAGAGTTCGTCTTATGGTGCCTGTTTTATGTGCAATTAAGTTTTAACTAAATATATTTGAGTGAGGTGCGTTATGTCAGACTCGCACACTCACTGCGGGCGCCCGTCGCACAGTCGCGACAGCAATGTAATTACACGCGAGCGATAAGGATGGGTAGCTTGGGGTCATTGGACAAAATTCTACGTGCTCACAGACCAGGCTTTATCAATTACTAACGACCAGTCCCACTGTCCCCTGCGTGCACTGCGGGACAGGTCACACAGCCGTCTTTTATGGGGAGGTGTAAAGTCGCCTATTATTTCGCCGCGGCGGACTGCGACAATCGTACGTCCCCCGGTTTAGATCAGATGTAAAATTGAATATCTTATTATAATGCTCGGGATCAGTGATGTGCCTGTTTCAGTTCAGACCGGGATCGTGAGTTGTGAATTGGTAGAAATTTTCCTGGAAATTTTACGATTTTCAACATTTTGAAACGCTATTGATGCGTCAGCTAAGTAAAGCTAACTCATGAAAATCTCCTCTGCAAGCACTTCAAAGGAGTATTTTTTACACTAAAAAAGAACCAATTTATAATAATATGTAGGGTTTCCACAGTTAACCAGCACATCGGACTTTATATTATTCTGTTGCAATGGTTAATACTGACTGATATAATAGTGTATAGAATCACGAGGACGCTTATCCTTACTTTCAACTTTTTGCATTATTAATTTTATACAAATCAGCTTGGATCTTTTTTCTAAGACTCCATTTACTATCAGCCTGTCTGGTTCACTATACTTTTGTAAATTTCCATCGGTAATATGCATCATCATCATCATCATTATAGCCATAGGACGTCCACTGCTGAACATAGGCCTCCTCCAATGCTTTCCATGTTGATCGATTGGTAGCGAAATTGTAAATTGTAATATTTTCCATGAATTTTAAAGCAAATATCCTAAAAATTGAGTTTAGATCGAGTTGTTCACGGCACAACACTACGGTAGAGCCAGCAAAACCATTCCCGAACTCATTGGTATCTTAATCGCTTCTTATCTTGTACGGTTAGCACAAACATCTACAGGTGCGATATTTATTTGCCCATTTCTTTTCTGCCTGGACATCATACCCAATGACTTAATTATGGTTGACAGAACCAATCAATTGACATACTCTTTTTATTTGACAAAAAATTTTTCTTATTTTGACGCGACTAAAGGAATGATTGAAGAATGAAGAGCTGTAACTAATAATGAATATGATTAATTTAGTAACTATAGTTTGCTATATTGTTGATTTATTCAATAATTGACATTGTTTCAATATAATAATAATATGCAAATATCAGTTAATATATAACGAAGCTATTTATTTTATTTTAATTGATTGAATAGGACCACCAATCAATAATTAATTAATTTATAACCTATAATTACACCGTAGGACACACAATGCTTACACACACACATACTTAATAAGTATGAGTATACTTAATAAGTATGAGTAATATAAAAAGTTATCAAGTTGCAAATAATATGATATTCAGTTAAACAGCATCGTTTATAAATAACCGTGAAAATTATTCACACTACGATATCAATCAAGTCCCTAAACAAATCCATCACATTCCAAATTCAAAATCAAACAAGAACAACGGTCGACCCGTTCCTTATTTGAAAATTCAAATTCGAAAAAAGAATAAGTCCCCAAAGACCACTAAATAACATATCCCAATCGTTTAATCTCGCGGAGCAGGCAAAGGAAACAAAGCAAAATGCCTACGCATAATACAAAAATTAATTTTCTCGCGAGAAAAAAGAACAGCTAATAAAGCGAAGCTCACGCTGTAAATGTCAGTTGCGTCCTTCTTTACGAGCCGAGCGATATTTATTTATTTCGATATAATTCGGACTCGGTGTTTATATTTTAGCGTATTGATTCTTTTGCGCGGCATTTTCGGGACGAGAGTGTAATACTGTTTTATAAACATTCAAAAAAATTACAAGTTTTTTTAGGATGTTTTTTTGATTTGCTGTCTACGTAGAAGGAAAAGTTATGGGTCTTACATAAAATATAAAAGTGATTAAGTTACAACTATGTGAAAATACTTTATTGAATAGCCTTAATTAGTATATGAATGAAGCCTTTTGCTACTTTTTGCATTGTTGAGAATACATAGGTCCAAAAAGTTTGATTATACTTTCTCAAATTACAAACGTTACTTTTTATTAGTTCAAAGCCACGAGATATGTTTGATTTATCTCTAGCTAGCAAACAAGAAAGGTTAAAAGAAAGCCGTGAGCTAATCAGTAAAATCTAATTTGCATGTTAATGAGGCACTTAGCTATAATTACTTTGTGCTATTCCTTCAGATTGTAATTTTATGTAGCTTAGACGCCATTGTTTTCATTTTCTCAATGTGTTTTATGTATAATAAAACTATCTAATGGGCAATGTGGGAACTTTTTTGGTATGATACATTATGTACTCAAAACTGTTCTCAGACACATAACGTTAATAATTATTTTAATACATCTATGATAATCTTTGGCGTCAGTCGTTATAATTAAAAAACAACTTTTATGATCAGGAAAACGCACTTTGTTTTACTCGTTAAAATGTATTAGTTTATTATTAACTAATGGTAATTGTTAAATTTATGCTGGGATGTGTTTAATTTTATGTACAACGCACAGACATTGAATTAATTTAACTATAATTTCGTGTTATTTAAAAAAAACTAACCTAGTGAATTGATTTTATGCGATTAAAGAATTAATATTGCATTTTCAGTTTTTTTCTTTTTGTAGAAAAAGATATCTTTTTACCAGTATTAAGACCGTCTATTCACACATTTATTTCTCTGATCTTTAGATAAAAGTCACCTTTTATGCAATAAATTATTTTTCTGCCAGAAATAAATAAATTTTCACCAGCGAGGTATCACACAGTCGTTCTCAAACGCCTTTTTCGCTCGATCAGATTTCGCGCGGACGGGTCTTATTTATATTACTTTAAAATTGCCTCCGATGCGAGCCGGCTAACGTATAAATATTGACAATTGTAAGGTGCTCTCAGCGAGCGTTAATTAAATAAATGATAATCACTTGTCAATCTATACTAATGTTACAAAGTGTGTTTTTTATAGAGGTAATTTCTTAGCAATAAATACTTGTACTGAAAGTACAGTGGGCTGAGTGCGAGTTTTCATCAAACACGCTCACTAGTGAGCGCGTTTAAAAAATGAATGAAAATTTTAGTTTTTGAACGTTTCCCGCTAGGGGCGCTGTACAATCCGTCATACATTTAATGTCATTTTTTGACGCGCTCACTTTTGATGTAAACTCGCGCGTTTGATGTAAAGTCACACTCAGCCCACAGTACATAAACTTGAGCCACCCGCGCGTAGTTTGAGAGTGCAAGTATGAACTTAATAGGCAAAGTTCATAATTAAGTCGAAAATGAGTACGCTCAAGCTAAAAATCTTAATTTAGAAACCGGGCTTGAGTCGTGTGGTTCAAACAAAGTGGAATAGGACTTTTTTTAGAGAATAAATGCATGAAATATGCATACCTACCCTGC